AACTTGCAGCTCAACTTGCTAAAACTTTTGAAAATGGTCCGTGGGAATATTGAGATGGGAATGCAGGGGTGCATTCTGTCCAGCCTATAGCTAGGACCTTCTGCGTGCTTCATGATCTTCCTGCTCTGAATCCTGTACATGGCATGTCAGCATTAGCTGCATGATGCCTCGCATGGGCTCACGCATGAGTCTTCGAGGTCAGCTGATGGCGCTGGGGATGTTGAACGAGAGGGGGAGATGCTTGGAAGGTCAGTATATGCGCCCTGGGATGACGCGCGATACAGGGTGACCGCGACTCACCTACAGCACCCATTCAATGCCATCCAACCATCCCTCCCTCCTCCTGTACTGGCACCACTGCTGGGTCGCCATCTCTTGCATGCGTCGATGTGCTCATGAGCCATGGTGATCAGGCAAGGGAGTGGGCAGCGAGTGCAGTGGGCCTGTGTGATCAGCTTATCGTGTTGGGCGTGAAGAAGGCGATGGTGGCGAACGAAAACATGGCGGGTTCGGATGCTATAGTGACAAAGCACGCACGAGCAGGCAGCTGGTCACTGCGTAGAGTGAGAAGAGACGGGTGCACGACACCTCGCATGGGCTCGTTCGCATATCTTCGAGATCAGCTGAGTGCGCCTGAGTGGTCGAATGAGAGGATAGGACTCTGTAACGCTTGTTACATGCGCCGTGGTGCGACGATCGATACAGACAGCCTTCACTCACCTGTGGTGCCCCTCCAACCCACTTGCCCTTCTCCTGCGTCGCCGACAACGCATCGCCATATCTCGCATGTATCTGCACGTTCGTGAGTCGTGGTGAAGGGACGAGGGCGTGTGTGACAGACAGGGCAGGCCTGCGTGACCGACTCATCGCATTGGATGCGGGGACGGCGGCGGTGGCAAATGAAGAATGCAGCGGGTTTGCACGCACGAGCTAGCGGCTAGTCACTGTGTAAGGTGACAAGAGAGGGGCGATTTGTGAAGCGCGGATGCACAGTGCCTCGCATGGGCTCATGCGAGGGTTGTCGAGTCAGCAGAGTGCGTGAGGGTGGTCGAACGAGAGAGGGGGGTGAGGGCTCTGGAACGTGAACTACGTGCGCCCTGGGGCGACGCGCGACAGGCCGATTGGGACTCACCTGTAGCATCCCTCCCACAATATCTATCTCATCTGCCCTCCTTCTGCAGTGTCGCCGCCACCGTGTCGCGATCTCGTGTATGCGTCCGCGTGCTCGAGAGCCGTGGTGATCGGAGAGGAGTGGGTGGTGGATGTGGCAGGCCTGCACGATCGGCGCATCACGTCGGGCATTGGAAAGGCAGTGGTGGCGAACAGAGAACGCCACCGGTTCGCGTGCCATGGTGGTGAAGAACGCGCGAGTGAGCAGCTGGTCGCTGTGTGAGGTGAGAAGAGAGGGGCATTTCGCGGAGCGCGGGCACACGATGCCTCGCAGGGGCTCGTGCGAGGGTCGTCGAGTCGGCAGAGCGCGCGAGGGTGGTCGAACGAGAGGCAGGGAGGACGCTGAAACAGTGAGTGCATGCGCCGCAGTGACAGGCCAATGGCGACTCACCTGGTGTGTGCAAACGACCCCACCTACGTCCGCTCTCACCCACCTACACACTCCGTGAGATTCCCACCTCGCCCTCCTGCTGCAGCGCCGCTCGAGACAGTGGGCTGGCCTTGTAGATGTGCGCGCATTCATGACGCTACATTAATGGTGATGATAGCGTGGCCGTATACGGTGGAGTCGTCTCGTTGGCTGCGGGGAAGGCAGTAGCGGCGAACAAACGACACGGCGTGTTTGCATGCTGGGACGGTGAGAGACATGAGCACACGCACCGGTACACTGTAGAAGGGTGAGAGTGAGGACGGCTCACCTAGTATAGCATCCCAACCCACCCTATGTTAGCTGTGCCCACCTACGCACTCACGACTCACCCTCCTCCTGTGGCGCCGCTGACGACGGTGGCGATACCTTGCAGATGTGCACGCGTTCGCGACGCTACATTGACGGTGAGAAATGTGAATGTCGAGGAATGCGCGGTGAGAAAGGCTGAGGTCCGAGATAGAGAGGTGAGAGGTGAGAGGCGAGAGGCGAGAGGTGAGAAGTGGGAACAGGCACGAGTCTCCCCGATTGGGAAGTGAAAGCGGCAGCAAGAGCAGATCTAAGTACAGGTCCTGAAGGGTCGCAAAGGGCTCCATTCGTGGAGATTTTTGGCATACATATAGGTGAATGGTATAGCGAGAGGTTGCAAGCAGCGCCTAGGGAATGGAGTGGATGTACGGCGAGAAAAAAATAAAATGAGCTACGCGCTAAGTGGGTGCTTATCGAGCAAGCTCAAAGAACAATGCATAGAAAACAAACCGGACAGTGAAAATACTTGAAATTATAATATGATGAGGAGGATATGCATTTCTAGAGGTCGCAAAAAAAGAACGGAATTTAGAGCACCTGCTCAAGTTTTTAGAAATATTCTAGTCACAGTTGACAGAATGCAAAAACTTACCTGATTGCGCAAGCTTTCGCGCATCATCCATTGCGTCAAATGATTGTGACCCTTTTGTGACCCCGAGAATCGAAGCAGCGCTTTCGAATGAGATTGTTTTCAAGAGGATAGGACATGATCTAGAGGAGCTAGGAGGTGCGCACGGAGGGAGGCCGAATGTTACATTTGGCCCGGGTTATATAGATAGCCTCCGCTTCTCTTCTGCACTCAAATTGCCTGCATGCTCCGCCGCTTGGATCTGCTTGAACACGTTCTTGAGGTCGATAGTGGCACATAGTGTCAACACCCTGCAAAGTCATGGAAGGAAGTGCAGTAATGCGGACTGCTCTCAATAAAGGAGTGAAAAGACTGTTGAGGGATGCATGTTTCACTGAACACATGGTATTTGCCCTGTACATTGTGCAGCCATCTGCTGACACTGAGGAACATCTGTGCACTTGCTTGGTACTGCTTGGCCTTGAACACGTATACAAAGCCAATGGCGTGCAGGAGATCTGGTCCATACGCCTCGTTCTTGAGTTCTCTGTGATCCATTAAATCCATCAACTTGAGGGTGATCCGAAAAGGACAATGTACTCGGCATCCAGCTGACATATTGTTCGCCAACTTTATGTCACCTGCCGATCATCCGGGCCCATTGCTGACTCTGTGAAGATCCCGAGCTTGCGCTCCAGATTCTGTACAAGCTTCTGTACCCATTCTGCACGTACGGCTGCTTTCTGCATTGTGAATGCATAGGCATGAACTCCCCACATGAAGCTGCACCAGTCAAGAGTGCTCACCTCTGCAGCTACCTTGCGCACCTTCTCCTCTCATTGTGCTTTTTCCTCCAGAGAGAGGATCTTCCACCCCTTTGCATCGCGCTGAACCTGCTTCCCATTCTCCTCGTCCTCCATCTCATCTGCTTCTTGCAGTGCTGCCTTCATATCCTTGACAAGGCTAATATGTCTGATGATAGGCACGAACCGCTCACCGCCAAAGATGGTACCAAAGACCTCCTGCAAGAGCATATGTTTCTCTAGTCAACATGCTGGAAGACAGAGTAATTACCATGCACCTCTGGATCAACGAATTCACCCTCTGGCATGCTTTCCTTTGCCCTGAACTCATTATACTTCCATCGTAGCTCAGGGTCAGACAATGTCTGATATGCAATCGCGATTTTCTTGAAGCATTCCTCTGCATGAGGACTGTCACGATTCTTGTCTGGATGATTCTTTATTGTGAGTCACCCTGACAAGTGACGCTGTTAGCAGGTCCACCAGTTGACCATTGGGTAGAGTCACGAATGATATGCTTTCTTGATATTGTCTGTTGTCACATCAACAGGAATGCCCAAGATGTCATAGTACTTTGTCTCCAGCAGCTTCTCCTGTATCCCAATCTTCCTCCCCCGGCACGGCATTTGGTTTTGCGATGATGTCGAGTCAGAGCTCTTGGATGCATTTACACCACTGATGTTGGAGATCTGAGATGGATAGAAGGCACGGGTGATAGTAGAATGACAGTTGTAGCATCAGATATTTAGGATGGTCCCAGCACGTGGTGCCGGTGATGGTACCAGAAACTCCAGGAGAGAGTTGCACTGCGAGCATGTAGTGGGTATGGAGGCATAAGTGGTCGTGATTCTATGATGCCATAGGCCGAGTTCATGATGGTCATAAGTCAGCATTTCACGCGATGTCCTATGACCAATGCTTCAGTCAGCAGTACGCACTGGGGTGCGGGCATCGAACCTGCTAGGGTGAATCAATGTTGGTTCACAGACTTGAACTTACTGGTCGCAGGCGACGACGGTGGTCCGGAATCCTCGCATGGGCACTTGCGGGGGGCAGGCACATGTCGTGGATTTTGAGGGGGCTGCTTATGTCAGTGGTGCGCACAGATATGTCAATCTGTCTGGATTCAGATGTTCTTCCTCATTGCGCTGTATATGCCCATCACCATCATTATCCATCACCTTGCCGCTGCATCCACATCCGCTCTCACTACTCATCAGCCTCTCATGCTATAACGGAGCCTGGCTCCAAAGAGACATCACGATGTTTATGTGGGCGGGATCCCGCTGTTAGCTGGGATCACAAGAAATCGCATTTCAAGCGCTTTCATGTCCAGCGCAAATTTGTTATTCTGGAGGGGCATGTCATGCCAGTTGCCATCGAACGAGACCCGCAGATGACCACATTTCACTGCCCAATAGAAGACTGCAAGTTCACTATGGGCTTCGAAAGCAAGTTGCATGTATGGCAGCGTTTTACGTTAGTTGAAGATAAACACTCAGTCACATACTTCGTACAGGCCCACATTCGCACCACCCACCCCCTCAGTTACGACCCATCTGATGCTGCACCTCCGGCACCAACTCGTCATGCATCACTACCCTGCAATTATAAGTGTGCTGTCACGTTCCACCCGAGTTCGCCTTTGAATACTATCACTCGCCGACAATCTGTGCCTCCTTTCACTCCAACTTCCTCTGTTGCAGGTATGATTGGCAGCATTCACGAAAACGCAGATGGTGTGACACTCTCACCCGGTGAGTCATAATCAATTATAGCTTCATATTCTGCCTGCTAATCGCATGATCAAACAGACATTTCATCATTGCTTCAAGATCATCCGATTACGATATTCATCCAGAATGATCTCCTTTCATCCCATCTTACGCATTTTGCGGGGAAGTTCATAAAATATGGGTATACGACCGTGGATGACATGCTCACCCTTTGTGCCCTCAGAGAGCCAGTGTGGATGCACTTTATCAAGTGGTGTGCAACCAATGCAAATGACATCAATCTCAATATTCTCGAATGCAATGACATGTTCGTCGCTCTTCGGCGCAAGAGCTACAGTTGTGAACGGGATGAGGCTCGAATGCAGCTTTTGATTGCTGCAACAGCAGAGGGTCCCAACACGGTGACAACCTTCTTTAGTAACCTGAGGATGTCACTGCATCTGGATAGGCTGCAGCCGGATGGGCTGCAGCTGGGTAGGTGCAGCCTCAGCATCATTACCACATTCTGAACTCTCAACATCAAACTGACAGATGATCTCAATGCTCTGTGCTTGGCGCAGGACCTGGAGAGATGGAGCACTTTCAGAAACAGTTTCATGCATTGCCATGATTCATACCGGTGGTTGGTTTGGCACGTTATTGAGGAGGGTCTCAAGTTGAGGCAGAACAAACTGCTCGCAAAGTCAAGATGACCGTCTCTGCTCATACATATGTAATACTATATGATGTAAAGTCATTTTCGGAATATTACACATTTAGAATTGCCTCGTTGAAACTCAAGACCAAAGATTCAGGTGAATCTGCCGATGAATGGTTGTGTACATTAATGTTGGTTGCGACGGCGGGAACTTGAGGTGGAAGAGAAGCTTAGTGTGGTCTTAGCGTGGTAGATGCTTAAGCATGTCCATGCCAGCTAGAAGATCGATGTCTTGCCTCATGATTTAGGCCAATTGTTATCTCGGCTGCTATCAATAGGCGTGCTCATTTAACGAACTGCACCTGTATCATCGGTGTCTCCCCACCCTCGTCGATCACATCCTTCACGCCATTCTGTCCACTTTGCACTGAACTCTGCTGTCATTCAGGCCTCTGCATGATCCACCCATGGTGATCGCATGGCTTGCCCACAGAGAGGAAGGGCGGTGCATGATTTGTGTGCTGCATGTTGTGCTTGAGCTGCATAAGTGGCGTGCGCACCATGTGCAAAAGGTGTTGCGCTGCGACATCGCCTGGTGATACTTGCGGTGGTGAGGTGGTGAGAAAGAGATTGGGTGGGGTGAGAGCATTGAGAAACGAGCACGAGCGGCCTACAAATGACAGGCACAGTTTAGACGGGTGATAATGGAGATTGAAAGGAGATAAATAAGACATAAGACATGAATCTGCTGCAGCTGAGCTGCTGTGAGATCAGGCCCTCATAGATTGTGTCCTCCAAAGATGCATTTAGCTGTAAATACATGCGAGGAAATGTGGATAGGATGACACGATCACGTAACGACTGAAGTGAGATAGTACACATGTCGATCTGAGGGGCAGACTGGAATAATAATGACGACATTGATCCTTTGCTGTTCGTCACTGAAATTGGGAAAGTATCTGGCTTGCAGCCATTGGCATGTGATAGAGGAAAGAGAGAAGTGGGTTAGTCTGCAACGGCAGCAGAATCTATGCGTGAACTGCTTAGTATGGCGTCAGTAAGTGAACGATCGACAAATGTATCCCTACCATATAGGGCAAGACTTGATCCCCGAAGAAACCTCAGAGCTCAACTACTCTTCCTACTGGCTTTTCGTCCTCGACATCATTGAGCTTCGCATTCAGAGCCACCATGCCTGATGAAATGAGGTCGGACGCGTCATTCTCAAGCATACTGAAGGCCTCGGCAGACAATTGAGGGACAGTCACGTGAATGTGACGCTTGATGAGCTGGTTGAAGTCCTCGCTGCACCAAGCTGTAGCATGATGCATGTAGAGTAGCAGACATTGTTAACTCACATGGGGATTCACAATGGTTCACCGTTGAAAAGTGGCAAGACGTGAGCATGCAGTTGCTTCCATGTTGGGTGTGCTCGAGGGTACAATCGTGTGGCTGCTCACGTTCTGTGATGTGCCAGTCAATGCAGGTGGTAGAGTGGGCAGGTGCAAGTGCGCGAGACTGCCGAGGCAGTGCATCTCACAGGAGACAAGTGTCGAGTCGTATGTGCGTGATGGTGAAATCTACAATGAAGCATGAACCAGATGGCACGGCGAGAAGATGGGCAGATGAACGAACACAATCTCATAATGTGATCACACGAGGGACACCCTCTCAGCTCCAACAAACTGGGAAGGCTGTCAGCCAAGGAAAAATGGATGTATCTTGGTGTGCGAGAGGTGTCCCTTGTATTGACCCTTGTATTGACCAGATGCCATGTTAGGGGTGGTAGAGGTTACAGAGTTACATGAAACGGTCAACGCAGAGTCAGCGTATGGCACTAATGGTTGAAGAAAATGCTCCAACTGTTCCGAACTGAGACGGTCGTGAAAGAATCATGGTAAAGACATGCTGTGAGGGTGCTATCACCTAAACAATTATTTTACCATCAGAAAAACTCACCTTGAGCATATCTGCTAGGTCATATCTGCTATGTTCTGCAACGAGAATTGGAGTGCAGAGCTGAAGACAAATTATTGAGCACTAGAATCGAGATTGAATGAGACTGACATTGTATTTCGACTGGAATGGGTGGACAACACCATTTGATATATATCAAAAGCCCATCTCCCAATCGTCGACTGCGTCATCCCTACGAAGTACACCCATCAGTACAGTCCGCACATAGAATAGTCTGCGGTCACTAACCCCCAAAGAGTAAAGCTTCGTTCCACGGAGCGTTGGCTTGTCGATTGGTGGTGCACCGACATAAAAAGAGATAACGACAGGCACTAAGGAAAATATCTCCCACCTTACAATCAATTGATAACTAATAATAAGATATCGCCCACTCAGAGATGCAAGTCCAATGCATACCATGTACTCCAATTGCCCACACTGACGAGGTCCAGCTTACACTCCAGGAGCAGCGCGGTGCGGTCAACGTGCCCATGAAGCCTGCTACGAGGTTGAGCCCCACATTTCCGTAATTGGATAAATCCCTGTATTATGTTTCGGACTTGATCCAGCTGATCATCGTGCCATCAAGCTGAGGACGATGAAGTACAGGCAAGAGATCGTGAGTGAAGACAGAAAGACTGAGCGTCAAGCGAATGGATTCTTGCCAGTGCAGGGCTGTAGGTAGCCAGCTATATTCAACACATAACACTTTCTCGAGGGCAAAAACCTAATTTGTTAGTAATCTGTGCACGTGGGCATGGGAACTAGCAGGACTTACCCTTAATCATTAATCAAACCTCGCCTTCACCAGCTCCGCCGCCTTCTCCTTCGCCAACACTGCATGCAAATCAAACATATCCTGTGCTGCGCGCTTCAGCTCCTCACAGAACTGTTCATTTGCCATCTCCTCGAGCATGCAACAACCGGATCACTGAACAAGGCCGGGACTGCCTCTCCTTCGCTAACTGCCTTCTTTAAACCTACTCACAACGTCAGCTCCCTCTCGTACCAGCACGCAAACTGAGCCACCTACCAAGCAAATGACGATCAACCCCTCGACCCTTCCCAGCCATCCTCGCCATCTGCCCATGCACCTCCACCACCCTCCCAAACAGCTCTTCCCTCTCCCTCACACCCACCCTCACATCATCCATACTCTCAACCCACTCGTCTGCCTCCCATGACATGACCCTAATCGCCTCTGTCTGGCCCTCTAAAAACTGCTGCGTTGATGCCGCCTCATACGTTCCTCCCCCTTCACCTCTCGCCCTGCACATGCACGTGCCTATGAGTCGGGCGACATGCTGGATGCCTTGATCTGCCACTTACCATACATTGTGTGCACTCCATGCTCAGTGTTGCAGTCAGCCCCAAAAATGTAGCCCGCCATGTGGACGATCCCCCTCTGTGTCTTCGCAGAGATGTGCCAGTCCAGCGGTGTAGGTGTTGCCATGGGTGACGTGACGGATGTGGATGTGGAGGACGCAAACCTGGGCGTGGCAATCGTGTTCAGCATGCAGTCGCACAGCGAGACAGTCAGCGTGCCATCCATGATAGAGTGCTCACCAACAAAGCCTGCCTTGCCATCATCCACGACGACAGATTGCAGCGGCTTGTCCATCCACCTATTGCACATGCCGAGGTTCTCAGCTGTAGAAATTTTACCAGCAGGCTTGATGACGGCGCCATGCCAGAGCAGCCGGCTGTGCACGATGAAGTCTGGTGCACCCTCCATGTCAAGGTAGAGGACGAACATGGAGGAATGGATCATCCACAGGATGGACTTGTTGTGTGGGTCCACGGCGAGTGCATCATGTTGCTGTGCTGGAATAAAATTGGGCAGGCAGGGTGAATGTGATTGAGATGAACCTCAGTCCAGAAGTTGCGGTCGTGAGCCGTCAAAAGTCCTACTGCAGGATACTCTTGTCTGATGTCCTCGTAGATATGGTCGATCTGTCTTACAATGAAGAAAGGTGAATCACGCTGTTCGCATGCTTTAGCAGTATGGACACGTACTTGAGCACTTCGTCTACACTGAGCAACTGCCCATCGTTCCATGGCTCAAGCTTGCCCAAGTGTCGCACCGTGCAAAAGTCATCGCACCGTGATGTGTGATTGCCAAAGTTGTCACACAGAGGCATGTGATTGGCTTTCGTGACTTGCTCAAGTTGTTGCACCATGCGTGATTGTAAAAAGCGTCACACCGTGATGTGTGATTGTCAAAGTTGTTGCAGGGCGGCGCACAGCGATGCATGATTGGTCACCGTGACTTGCCCAAGATGGCGCGAGATTATGAATGAGACTGTAGAAACTTTGGATATGCACAATGAGGACGTACATTGCCAAGGCACAATAGACAACCTCTGGGTTCTCCAGGGCTTGGGCTGTCATCGGAGTCTTCACCCATCCTGAAAAAGCTATTGTCATGATGCTTTCATGCAGTATGGTGGTACGTGAGGGACGTACCAGGTGCAATGCAACTGACTCAGCCTAGGGGCGCTATCTTGACAATCTTGTTTTTGAGAGTCTTAGTCAATCCATACATTATGCCTGCTGTGCAGCATCACATTCAGCAGTTTGTAAGTAGCCATTGTATGGCCAAGAAGACTATACCTACCACTCTTGGCTGCCGAATAATCCCCATGGCCAGCCTCTCCGTACTTCATCTCTTCCCAGACGTGCTTCCAACAAGCACGATACTTGCCTTGTCCTTCTCATCAATCATTGCGCACTCGAGGTGTTTCAGGTATTCTCTGACGACAAGGAACAAGAATGTCAAGTTGGACATTATCGTCGAGTTTCATTGCTCGAGGGTCATCTCGGACACAGTCACATTGACGACAAGGACCTGGACAGAGCCGAACTCCTCGTCCTCCTTGATGAACATGAGGATGACATCATCCTCATCCGAGAGGTCTGCCTGAATGGTCCTTATGCGAGAGGGGCCGTATTCAGCTAGGAGAGGCTCGAGTGAGGTTACATTGGTGTTGTAGTGCGCGGTCACTCTCGCGCCTTGCTCTACAGCGTAAATATGGCAGAAGGTCATGAAAATAGAGCAGAAGAGAATGAGCATTGTTGTGAAACTAGAATTTGGCGATGTACTGACTGAGGAAGATTTCACATATCACCAATCCAATTCCTCCACTGGCATCTAAATCGGTGAAATATGTTGTTTAGCTTCAACCCACTGTGATGCAAGTGAACATACCTGTGACCAGATGGACCTCGTTCAAGCCCAAATCCATCATCTTGACAAATGCTGCTTCAGTTCGTGGATCTCGGTAGCCGACACTATGGGCGTCTACGTTAATAGAAAGACCCTTACTGCTGCACTCAATGCCTACCTGTTTTCTCTTCCCACTAGGCTGCTTGGCAGTTACTAAGGGTGTACAAGGTTCGAGGAGAGTGCAAGATACGTGATATTGCTGCAACTGCATGAGACTCCATCGCAGCGAGTTTTCGTCCCTGCAGTTCGTCACGGGCCTCAGGATAGGCCTTGCCTCACCTACTAGGTTCAAGATCATGAGATCGCATAGACAATATCCACCATGGCAGCGATGCACTCGATGGATCCATGTTGAATGGTGCGCTTCCAAGTAGAGGTGAGCTAGACCACATCAGGTTCTCTAGACGAGCAAAGCTGATGCTGAGAGCGGCAGCTCCAATGTTCTCACCGACATGCGTGTCAATGTGTCAGAGGAGGGATCAGATAGAGTGCTATGCTATGGTTCAAGGCAAGTCATGTTTATCGTTATCTAGCTCTACAATAACTAAAATGCACTGTGAAGGAAAGATTCCTTGCAGGTGATGAGATCATCGAGCACCTCGTCATGAGTCTGTGCTGCTCATTTTTATACCAGTATAGATCGTTGACGTGTCAATTAAGAACAATGCAATGTCCACGATTCAGTAGTCAACACATCGCCCAAAATGCAGCTGGTACATCCACACGCAGATGCCCTCATTCCCACCTGGCATGTTCATATTCCTCCAACCTTTTCCACAAGATTCACCTTACTATGCCGATGCAGCGCTGATGTTTGCCTACTGAAGGAACTCACCCTCCTACTCTCTCAGCATCTCTCCACCGATGCAGCCATTTACACTCACTCGCTTCTCACTGGAGTCTGACATCACCGTTATGAGCACGTGAGATGCCATTCACTCGTATCCCCCCATGTCACCGCCACAGACTCCAACTGTCGTGATACGCCCACCATCGCCCGACTCAGTACAGGAATATGTAGAGGAGGCTGCACCCACTGCATCGTCCTCAACGCCCAGCATCAAGCTCCCATCCTTCTCCTACACCTTTGACATCCATCACCCACTTTGTCCTAACCCCTCACTCTGTTCCCTCCCCTCCCTTCCCCTTTCTCCTTGCCTAACTATCCTTGCCTAAGTATCCTTCTGTGTCATCTGTCAGCAGTAGTGTATAATTAAGCTATCGTCATCTTACTGTTCCTGCATTTATTTGTCATGTACTGTCAGCTTACACCAGGAATAGCAGAAGAGGGTAATACAAGTTCATAAATGGTGTGCTTAGTTTGACGAGTCTGCCAGGAATGTCCTTAGACTCCATTGTTCCCGCCACAACTTTCAGCTTCCTGACTGATGATCCATCATTCTGGTGCACTAGCTTGATATTGCACGAGACGCCACCACAACTCACTGCATCAGCCACTGGTCTCCAGTCCCTCTCTGCCAGCTGGCAACCACGGTCTTCATGACGGCAAGGATGATGGCATTCAACCAGATCCCAGCGTCTGCTGGCATTAAGTTGGCAGACGTTCATCGCGACCATCCAGGGAGATGGCAGCTAGCAACTGTTCAAGCAAGGGGTCATGATCTAGGGAGAGCCAGCAGAAGACAAGATGTGGCTTATCACGTGCCAAGTCAGATTAACCGTAACAATTAAATTTAAACCAGCCAGGCACTGTGCCCCTTGTTTGGATTCCATCACAGTTGTTTGGATGGTTTAATATTTAAACGGTGCTTCTGATTAAAAATTTGTGATGCCGTGACTACTGAATTTGATAACACAGGCCAATTTTTGATTGGCTGTATTTACAAGAAACATTTTGGACACATGGCGAAGACATTTCCAGTGCCACCATTGTTTAATGATCGGGTGCATTTCAAATGAAAAGATAGATTCCATTCAGCATACATTGTGTTGAAATTCAGGCAACACAAAAAATTTATTTGAGATCTTATTGAAAGACCTTCACAATGTTGCCAGAATGATATCGTGATGATGGGAAAGGAAACATGCAAAAAACAAGATGATATCATTTCTCATAATTCCTCAATGATAACTTCTTGTAATTAGTAAAGGCACCGGTTGATACATATTTAATGTTGACACAATGACACCATACTTTTATCAGTGGTTTCATGTAGATATAATTGAGATGACAATTGCATTGTTTTCAGAATTGTTCTTACATTTTGGCAATGAGATCATAAGCAATGTGTTTATCATGAACATCAACGAAGAATTTTGGCACAAACATGATCTCAAATTGGTCACAATCAATGTGATCTCTCAGGTGACTTCGATGAAAACATAGAGGCGATCATTGTGACTGTGACTGTAATGTGTTTAGGATGATTCCAGGGGAATCAGAACCTCATGCCCCCTGTGTCTGAGATTAGCGTCTCAATCACGTGCAACAGATTTCACTGGCAGACGTATGCCAGTGGTGGTTTCTCTGACATCCAACAGTTAGCCAGTCTCCAGAGATTGTATTATGTCAATCAATGGCTTGCTTGCTGCTTCACCGCTCTGCAAAGAATGTGATTCAATTCCCATGCCCGCTGATTCCCACCCAACCGCTATGTCCTCTACCTGCCTGTGACAGGCTTCAGGTATTTACAGCATGGCGAAGGATGAAATGTTTCAATGCAGTTGCATGTCTATGGCAACAGTGTTAATCAGTAACAGTGCAGTCATGCACAATGCAGAGAAATCGCGGTGCTTTCTGGTCAGCATCACTGCTCAGACCACGTTCAAATGGCTCATTGAAGTTTCTCAGCTGTGATGGAAGATGCCTAAATTTTCAAGAATATGGCGTTGCAACATTTTCCAGTGGAGATAATGAGTATTCATTCTCAGATCGCTCATACAGCATTTTGTGTGAGTCCAACAGACTTGATCGCAATGCTCACAATGCTTGACATCTGATGCGCAGGTTCCCTCCTTTTCGTTGACCAATTCAATACTTCCATCACCTCGCAACGTCCCACACATATGATGCCTCTTTTGAGATATTCTCCCTTTACTCGCACCCTATGATGCGGGCAAGTTCAGTCACCGATGATTCTGACCCTCTGGTGACGGCCATGGATGAAGCTACCATTATCCAAGGTTCAAAATCCCACTTTTCTGGAGGGAAGACTTCTGGCGATTTTGTCCGTGTCTGATCGCTTAGTCCTGAGCCATCACGGTGCCTCCTCAGGGAGATGTGCCTCAAAGTGCTTCATGAGGTCAGCGAGCCAGATATGGAGCCTTGTGGACCATATTTCTCCCTTCCACGTGACCCGACGTCTACCTCGGGTGACCTTTTATGATGATGGACGACCAAGGAGCTGATTGGGCAGTTTGAGTCGATGATGCCTGACACAGAGATGAGATCGACTGACCCTAGGACCTCAGAGCAGAAGGCCCACCCTGCTGCATATTCTGCGATTGAGAAGAAGGAGAAGGGCTGCTCACCTCTCTGCCAGTCTATTCGTAACATCCTTTTCATGTTCAGGAAGAAGTCCTCTGACAGCCATACACGTCCTGCGATTTCTGAGTAAGTGGATGTTTTCTCGTCAATACCAGTGGATTTATCGTCTCGATATCCTCCGTTCGTACAGACACCCAAGCCGGAACGAATTGATGACTCAAAGAACTTCAGCATCTGCACCACTCCATTAGAACTGGCACATGCGCATCATTCTGGCCCTCTTCTCCATCTATCGCCGTCTGCTTCTCCTGGCATGCATCCAGTGTGGACGAACTGCAACGCTACGCTTCATTTGACTCATATCCTCCTTACGTGGCATACACATCATGGCAACCCACACACAAATGTCATCTCATTTAAGGCCTGTGTGGATGTTCGGTCTCTGACTCAGCTTGACTTGAATCTGAATGAAAGAGCTCTGTTACCATCGGATGCAGGAGAAGTGAAGTTGTTCGAATTATTGTTTGAATGCAGACCCCGGGAGATGTTCGTGGCAAAGTCTGTCCATGAGAGAGCAATGTGGGTCAGCAAAATATGGTATGCTTCGGAATGCTGTCTTTGCATAGCACTCCACATACTAAAGGTATACCAGGGATGCAATTTTACAAGCGCAAGAAGAGAGGACAGAAGCTTCAAGTATGGCTGCCGCCCAAATCATGTCAGAGATCAACGCAGCCACAGGCAACCTACCTGTCACTCCATATCGACAGAATATCCATTTATCAGTTTGTGAAACACCAGTGGCAGCTCCCTCTTCGAAGCTGAACATCAACCGTGCTCTCTCTACCTAGCATTCCAACTACCACATCAGACAGTCCAGCTCCACGGCTTTCATTACAGATTCCATCAGTATACGTACCTCTCCCTCTTCTGCGCTTTTTCCGCTTCCAAGGCTGCTGATGACTCCGACCAGGCCATCTTCTCTGCTTTCACCTTCGACACTGACAAGAACGCAGCATTCCTCGATCCAGAATCTCGATCAGCACTCGATGATCAAGCAGCATCTGGCACAGCTCGAGAGAGGGAAATCACCCTCTTCTCCTGTGCATTCCTCTCCTACCTCCATCGGATCTCCTACTCCTATGCGTGTTCGAAACATAGCAGACATAGGATCGACTAATGCATGCACAAGTCCCGCTTCGAGCATAGGTGCCTATTCGATACTTGATTCTTATGGCGGGCTGTGTGCTACGTCATCACTCTCTGCGTATTTGGATCGCTTGACATCTGAACCGTTTAGTCCGCATCCACTCTCAGTGAACTCAGATCATTTGACGTCGCAGCCATCAACTGCAAGGACGCTGACAGCTTTTAATGAAGGTTGGAGGCTGGCGCTGAAGCAATTCACTCTCCTTGATCCTTCCGCTCTAGACATGACTGTCATATTGCCTGCTTCCAGGTATTCCACAGATGATTCTTCCCAGAACGACCCACCTACATCAGCAGATCTCCCTGCATCCATTCTGAAGGAAGCTGGCCCGCAACCTAGCTGTCGTCCTGTCATACGGTTAGATATAGACACCAGCGCGTGGAAGTCGCCTGTGGTACTCCATGACGAGCTGTCAAAAGCACATCCAGATTTGATAAACATCGAGCTGCAGAACATGGTAAAGGCTGTAGGGCAGTCCGTGAGCCACTTACGAGGACAATCCAAGGTGGATGGTACTACCATAAAGGATATATGTCTTAGGGTGAACCAGATCCTGGAGGAGATCCAGCGTAGACCCGTGCAGGATGTGCAACCCACGGATCATCTGTCTAGCATCACGGAGCAGCTGGAGACGTTGTGTTCATAGTTGCGATCTGTTCAACAAGCAGCTCCATCAGTTGCTGCTGAGCCTGCCGGGTTGTCAGATATGCATGCGAAGATGGATAAGCTGATTGTGTTCTATGAAAACCTAGAGGATGGTCATAATCTCTCTTCTCAGAGAGAAGAGCCAAGCGCAGAAATCGACCAACAAGTTTGTCTTATCATGCTCGACTGTCGCTGTCTGTCTCACCAGCATTCTCTGCAGATTGATCAATGGGCAAAGCAGAACAAGCAGCAGACAGACAGTATACAATAGCTCAATGAGTTGAACACTGTAAGAGATGTTGCGGCAGATGATTGAGATGTCATATTGACAATTCGCAGTGGCTCGAAGTGTTCGTCAACCACGGAACTTCCCACATCGAAAGTGTCACTGCGGGCGTCCAGCAGTTGTGTAAGGACCTCGGTCCCATTTTAGAGCCAGCAAAATCTGCTGAAGTCGAAGAGCCATGATCTTCAGGCACCCTCCTGGGCGATATCTGCAGGCTGCTCATCGAGAACCAAAGCCATGAAGAGCAGTCTACGGCGTTGCATGCGTCCGTCAATGGGTTAATCGCTGCTGTTCAGGAAGACCTACGCAAGAATGCAGAGGCTTGAAATATGCTTAGTGTGTCTCATGTCAATGCTCTTCCCATTTGATCACAGAACTGACTCGCTCCTAGCAACTGAATCTGTGGTTGGCCTTATAGATAGGCAAAGACAGGATCATGAATGGATGTTGCGTACTCTTGGCACTGGTAAGTCGATCATAATAAGTCATTTTCTGTGGACATTTCTGATAGATCATCGCTAGAGCTTTCCAACGAGATCCGTGGGGAATGGTTGAGGTTCATGGAAGGGATGAAAGAAGCTACCACCATCAATGTACAAAGTTAGTCAGCTCAATAACTACATGATTCCCTGACTGACTGAAGCATTGCTCTTAGTCCATGTCGAGGAGTTTAAGAAAGAGCTGACCAGAGAAGTCCTCCTAATGACACAAGAGGTTAGCCAATTGCAGTGAGAAGGGCAAGGACTAGGGAGCAGCAGATCGCAGATCTGTTTGCATTTACGCCAAACAGAAACAAGTTGGTGCAGTCTGTGTTTGAGTTGACATTCACATTGAGAGGTGTATTGACTGGAGACGTGTCTCAATCTAGCCCCTGCAATCTTCGACGTGGCCAAATATGCAGGGTCAGCCTCGTCAACAGCTGCAACTCACACCTCCCATACCAGGAGGACCACCTCCTGCAGGAGGTAGGTGACCATTGCCTAGTCCTACAATAGCATGGAGACAGTGACTCGTTCATCATCAATGACATGGAGGAGATCGATGGGAGTATCATGGTCCAATGCACAACAGTCATCGCGTGCGCAAGGAGGCTCTACACGTAGATCTATATTATATGATGATATGCATCGAACTGATTCACAGAACATAGCTACACAATAGAATACGGTGGCGTTGACATCCGGTGGACAGGTTCTCACCTCAATCAATTGCCTTCCACCCTACCATCAGTTGGCCAGCCTGTCAATGGGAGCATAAGCCCTTACAGATACAAACACTGACCAACAATGATGCACTGGTGGTTGGCGATGCTGATCCGTTGATCAAGATACTTCAACACTGTCGCCTTCTCATACACAGCTGCTTTCTGGGATTTCGACCAATGGCCTTTGAAATTGGATTGGCTCGCTCTGCACAGCGTCAATCTGCCTATGGCTTGGGTTGGCTATGAATACATTCTTACCCAGGTATTCCAGAAGTAGGACTCAACGATGCAGATATTGCCTCTTTCCTCTCCGGATCTGCATTCCAGGCATGGAACTGCTTCGGAAACATACAAAGCAGCTGGGGTGGTGATTTGCCGATACAGTGGAATGACGACCAATATGCCTTGAGATCGTGCAATGGATATACGAGCTGGAATGACCCCGATATTGCCAGCTTTCACTGGTTTCATTCCCCATGCTATGGCCCAGGCCTACCCAGATGCGTCAATTGTGAATGGAAGCCAGTGGGACGGCTTCCCATCCACACTCACAGATGTGTCCTTCCTCGAGCCATTTGACCCTCTCTTCACAATGCTCCAGATGTCAGAACAACTCATACAGTGGTGAGACCGGCTACCTCGCCAACATCTACACGAGCGAGTCCTTCTGGACATCTGACCGCATCTCTGCATACCTCAGTGGCATGCCCAGCAACAACAGCATGATTGTGCTCAATTTGTACTCCGAGGTGCAGCCACAGTGGCAGTGCACAGATTCGTATTATGGCAAGCAGTGAGTCTGGTGCGAGTTGCACAACTATGGTGGGAATATGGCATTGAGGGTAACATGCCCGAGCTTGTCACTGGTCCAGTCGAGGCGCTTGCTGCATCGCTGAATATAAAGGGCCTGACTATGGAAGGTCAGGAGGGGAACGAGATCATATATGACATCCTTCTCGACCAGGCATGGTCATCCACCTCTACCAACCTTACCTCATACATGGAGAAGTGGGTCGCCTGCCAGTACTATGTCGATTCCTTCCCTTCCACTGCACAAGAAGCATGGATGATCCTCAGTACAACTGTCTACAGCAACACCGACTCAGACATGCAAGTGACAATCAAGAGCATATTTGAGTTGGCCCCCGCCACCTCTGGACTGACAGACCACATGAGCCATCACCCCACTGAAATACCCATACGATACCAATACCACCATCATCCCAGCGCTGCAGTATCTAGTCGAAGCAGCAACACAGAATGCCATCCTCTTAGATGTACCTGAATTCATATACGACATCATGAACATCGTGAGGCAGCTCCTCGCGAACAGGTTCATTGAGGTATACAATTCATTCATAACTGCATATGAGGTGTCTGGCGTGACCACCGCTTCCATTAATGAAGCAAGTGCACCGCTCCTTGCCATCCTCTCTGACATCGACACGCTGCTCTGAACGAACAACAATTATCTTCTAGCCAACTGGATCTCGGACGTGCGCAGCCTAGCAGGGAGCAATACCACCTATGCCGACTATCTCGAATATAACGCTCGCAATCAGATCACTCTTTTGGGCCCTGATGGCAAGATTGACGATTACGCATTGAAGCAGTGGGCGGGGCTCGTCGGCACGTACTACTTAGACAGGTGGCAGATATTTGTCTAGTACCTCGCAAACATCACGCAGAATGGGACGAGCTATAATAGCACGGCCTTGTTGGATGAGCTTCTGGCAATTGGTGAGGCCTGGAACAGTCAGATTTGGGGCCAGAGCATGGGAGAAGGATGGAATGTTACTGGAGATGCTATGAGCGTAATCGCAGATGTGATTCAGAAGTGGGCATGATCATGCTATGGACATGTTATGGACATGTAGTATCGCAGAGAAGCCTGTCATATAGCTGCAATATACCCCATCCCAATCAACAGCAGCATGAGTGCTACGCTTGCTGCCCCCAAGAGCTGACATCATCAAAAAATACGCATACATCAGGTCTTTTTATGACCTTTGCAACCATCCTTGCCTCCAGCACGTAAGGACTTCATGAGCAGAGCCTTCTCACGATTCTTGTTCTTCACGTTTGCCATTGAGTAGAAGTTTGTTGACTTGCGCTGTAATTTATGAAATCATAAGGTGAACATACAGTGACACACAACCATTAATATATGTGTTCCGTACCTTGTTCATTTTCATGCGAGTCTCCTTCTTGGGTTGCTGTTCTGACTCAAACTCGGCATCTGCAACATCCTCCGCCTCATTTTCACTTTGTTCTGATTCAGATGCATCCTGCTCTTCATCGTCGCCCAGTTTGCTGAAGAGAGTCATATCTCGCCTTTGGGAGCATCGCCCTTGAACACGTCATTCCAGCTCAACTTCTCCTTCAACTGCATCATCCTCGCTCTGCTCCGCATCCTCTTCTTCAGCCTCAGCGTGATCCTCCTGTTTCAATGGTCACACATCCTCCCCAACAAACATATTTTTCTGCATGATCGATCCCAAGTGCTGCTTCACGTCGACAGGTCACTGCTTCCCATGCCCATCCTTCACCTTGACCTTCCCCTTTGCATCCACTGCGCCCGTTTTCTCAGCCCTCTTCCATGCCTTCTCCTCCTTCTCGTTCAGCTCCTCCAGCCACTCTGATAGAAGGACAAAGAATGGTATCCGTCAGCACACCCAGTCACTCAACAGGATCTTCACCACTGCCTCCATGTCTGGCTCTCCTTTTTTCAGCAGTCGGCCCTTCATCTGCGCCAACTTGTCCATGAATGCCTCAGATGCCCAGCCCTTTGAGGGGTCCAACAGTTCGGAGAGGTACATTCTGGAAAGGCAGATTGGCTTGACACGTTCCATGAGAGTGGGTATGCGCTTGGACGGAGTAGTGAGCACCTCGATGCGGACGACGCCCTTTAGGACGATGGAGATTGAGAAGTCTTTCACAGAGGTCAGGACGATACCGGGACAGTCAATGAGATATATGCGCTTGGTCAGCGTGATATATTGCCAGACCCATAGAGGAGAAATAAGTGGGCGGGTGAGACATGCTGATGATTGTACGAGTTGTTACGTACCTTTGTCTAGCCGGAAACAGGTGCGACAGTGCGGACCTTTCTGCTTTTAAGCGTGTTGATAATGCTGCTCTTGCCCAAATTCGGAGATCCAATGAAGCCCATGGATATCTGCTTCTTGTCAGAATGTAATTGCGAAAATTGGTGCAGAAGCTGGATGAGATCCCTTGCCAAAGGAATGGTTGAAGGAAGCATGGAATGCAAGGGTAGAAGATCGTGGAGTCAGACATTGGATGTAGCGAGCCTACAACAATATCGTTACATGTTGCTGTAAATGATCGGTAGGCAGACACACTTACAGTCACCCAATTTGACACTAGTTCACATTTGTTGATGACCAGCACGACCTGCTTGTGCACCTTCTCTCCCCTGATGTATACCAGGACAGACTTGCACAGCATCCCCATCGGATCCCGAGTGTCAAGTATGTGCAAAATTACATCAGAGGAATCAATAACCTTGTAGCGCTCACCATATATGTGGTGTGAAGTACCCTTGGCGGTGTAGATTGGCTCAACCACATCAGCATGTATTTGGAAGTCAGCAGATGCTTATGTCATTGTGCCAGGTTCTGCGAATGCATGGCATAAAGAGCGTATTTGAATGGAATGTGAAGAAAAGCAGGATATCGAACCTGCAGATTCCTCGACTGCATTACCAGCTGCCTCTGCCTTCTCTGCCGCAGCCGCACTGAGCTTGCTTAACTCTTCGAAAGTGCCCATGCCAATCCTTGCCTTCTTGCACTGTGCTTTAGCCCAAAACATGTCTTGAAAAGGTTCTGTCTCGATGATATGTGAGTGCTACCAAAGATTCTGCAATATTAACTTTTGTCGAAACCATAGGGAGACCTGTGCTCACTTTGTGCAGGTTCGGGTTAGTGATTGGTAGCTTGTTTCGGTGGCAGAGTACGCATCATGCTGCTTATTTGCAAGACTTGTGCGGAAGTGGTCCAGTGCGGTCTGTGAGATAACCCATTGAGCATGCCTTGATTGCTTGCAGCACGATCTTCAGGCGGGCAGCGGCCTTTGCATCACAGTAGAGGTTCTCGCCCTTAACCCTTTTCAAGATCGGTTGGGAATATGACTTTGTCTTTCCAGATGTTGCCATCTTTTCCGTAGGTGCCATGGTGCGTTAGTGGAATGCGGGGCACGGGAGCGCAAAAAGTCATGAGTGATCTTGCCAGTTCAGTACTTGGCCAGATCAGGCCAGTTCATCTCTGGCCATCTCAGCGCCTCAACTCGAAGTGGACCGCTGAGATCTGGTAAGGGTCCGCCGGTGGGAAATTTAGCTCATCGCCCGGCACGTCCTCCCATCCACGCCGTTCAGCCCGAACTGCTGCTTTGAAAGGACCACCTTGCTAAGCTCAATTGCACGCATGATAATATGCTCGCTATATTCCGACATGGGAGGCTTTGCATTCAATATGACATCCATGATGAATGGTTGCTTGCCGAGGAGCTTTGCGTCCAATTCTGTGAGCTGGCAGGGAAGGACAGTCATTATGATGGTGATAGGGTGATAGTGCCAGTGGCAACGCTAAAATCACATACATTGCATGTCAGTGATGTAGGGGTCAAGTGTTAAGGATCTAGAGGACCCGTGCACTCTCACTCTCACCTGACCTGCCAGGGTCCTTTGGCTCAAGTAGAAGGGGTAAAGATCTAACTCGAAACTGAGGTGGAAGCCTCAGCTCGAGCCAGTATATATATATGAGGGGCTTGCCCCCTGGTACCAGGATGTAGATCCTAGATACCCTAGAAATACAGAAATAGGCCTGTACAGATGTGCTACAAACCGGTAACTAGGCTACTGGATGTCCCTGGGATAGGTACAAAAGAAGGGGAGTCCGCACTTTGAGATGTGAGAGTGGCAGGATGTCCGTATATGGTAAGGGTATCTGATGGATTGGCGACGACAGAACAGGGTCGGAGCGCCCACAAAGTGTGGTGTGGGAATGGATGGGAAAAATCATGACATAGCCCCCTCCCTAAGCTGAAGTGTCCTCACGAGGCCCTTTTGCAGGGTTCTATCATTCATGAGTTTTGCTAATGCTGAGCCCTCCGGGTATATTAGGCCTTTATTGGCATCTGGGGGATCATCCCCGTCACTTGCTGATCAACCTTGTGGAGGCTTCACATTGCGGGGTATAATGAAATGATAGTCCTTGGGCCCCTTGATCCGTGAAGGTCTTCATGGGAATCTGATCATGATCTTCCCAACTCCCTTCGCATCCGGGTATCGGTGATTAAGTTTGCCTGTAATGGACTTTGATGTAACAGCTTTTTAAGTCCGTGATGTCCGTATTAACTTCTAGCCCGTAATGGCTGAGTGTATGTCATGGGTATTCTTTTCACTAGTAAAGAATGAGTGCGTCTGAAGTGGGTATTGATTATGCTTGATTAGGTTTCCGTCACCCTGATTGGGACTCCGTTTCCCTTGTAGCATTGTGGTTAATGCAATTATACTGTGACATTCTATGTGGCAGGGTGAGGGGTATGTGTCTCGGCCAACGAGTTGTGCACAGAGCATCTTCTCAGCAAGGTACTTCTTTATGCCTAGTGATGGATGCACATCATGACTCGTTAGCTGCCCATGGAGCCTCTTCCCTTTCTGGGTATAGTACCTACTGTAGTGGTGCTAATCTATTGGGTATACGCGCCAGCGTATCTTACCACCAGCTTGTCCGTATTAGATATTATCTCATGGTTCCTATAATGGCACTCCAAGCAGCCAGGTGACCTGAGTGTGGGAAAGGTTTACCATATTGGGTATATGGTCATTCGCCTCCTCTGATTTCGACGCCCTAGTGGCATCGCACAGACTGGGCATGGGACATAAAAGTCATGAAACCCAAAAAGTACACTGAGACGCTTCTGAGGTCGGCCCACTCTGGGGCTCACCTATTTGGGCCGCACTCAGTTTTCCAGGTTTTCAGTTGTGATGCATCATTGATCGGATCAACGTCATTCGTGTCCTTCGGTCCAGGTGCACCTAAACTTCGTGCTTCTGGATTCAGCTTCGTTCGTGATCTTCTGTCTTCAGTCCTTGTGGACCTCGTGCTTCTTCATTCTGGCTGCTGAGTCAAAAATCAAGTCATGATATTGTTTGCTCACACTGAGATTCAAACCTGTGCTCATTGGGGGTCGAGCGGGACCTGAGGGATAGTGTCAGGTGATCTCGGGGGGCTTGAACATCATGGCTTAACCCCTAAGCCACTTGAATGAGTGTAGTCACTACTTGGGACTGATAGACTATGGCGTAATTGTCGTTGAAATGCTGCCAATGAATTGGGTGCTAGTGCATTGCGTGGGCATCATGAATGCGAATTTCCGGGTATGTCTTGGTATTTGTAGAAAATTCGATTATTCTATGATTGTGGGTTTGTTTACCCCCTTCCTAGGTGAAGTCATCCTTGACTTCTACTTGCTTTTCCCCTTGAGCTTCGCTTCAAGGGTATAGTGAAGGATCACCGGGTATCCTGGTCCAGCAAGTTCTAAGATGGAGATATCCCACGGATATCACGAGGTATGTGATTATGATGAATTCGACTCCTATAATGGTGCACAGCAGCCAGGATGTCGAGACCTAGAGTATTGGTATCTCAAGGTATGTTATTATTTGCTCATGTCTTAATATCCTCCAATGGCACTTCAAGCAGCCAGGATATTGTGACGTATACTGACTGGGTATCTGAGTATCCCAAGGTATATGCATTATGTGATTTCTTGATCCCTATAATGGCACACTGCAGCTAGGGAATCAAGTGCCATAGCTGACTAGGTATTTTCGGTAACCACTGTCTCAGTTTGGATTTATCCAATTCGGATATTCTTCTCTGATCGGTACCTTGGCCGATCGAGTGTGTGAAAATGGTATCGTCATATAATGACTGTGACGTAGTTGAGATTCAGCTTCAGATGATCCATTGATCTATTGTCTCTCGCAGTTACAATGCTTCTTTGAAGCAAAGCATGTGCTCGGCGTTCTTCGGTCTGAGCCTTATAATGATACCATGATGGGTATAAGCAGGGACTTGTGCTGCTGGATATGTGTCGTGGGCAAGAGCGTAGGTTGCCATGAAATTTCTATATAAGGTGATTCCCTGGTATAATCTCGGTATAGGGGGAATCCCTATTATTCTATGGGTTGCTACCATGCCTGGGGTTGTTATCCCTAGTACCCCCGTCCTAGGGTGTGAGCGTCCTCGCCACATGTGTCCTAAGTCTTTTTGAGGTTCTGGGTAAGTGCCCTCGAGGTATCTTGACCTGGAGGTTACTAGGTTGAAGGTCGCATGTAGTGAGTATCTTCGGTATACAATTATTGTTTTCCCCCGAGTCCTCGGTTGAGGTTACTATATTTAGGTATCATAATAGATAGCCGTGCTCTCGGTGCCCTAATGCTAGTGAGAGTTGTTCGTAATAGAAAGTGATCGCCTTGTCAGCACCGTGCCTTTGTTCAATGGTATTCTCTTTTCTTGTGCCCCGGAACATTGCCTATGTTTGCATGGCTGAGAATAATGGTATTCAAAGAAACGGCCTTGGCACTTTCAATTTGATCGATCAGGGGGTCTCCGATCAGAGAAGTCTATTTTAAACTAAATAGACCTTTGATGGACGTCATTGGCCAAATAAAACTGTTGCCGCTTGCCTTGCAGACAATAAATAACTAATAGCTTCAAAGTTGTTCCTTATAATGGCGCAAAGCAGCCAAGGCTTCAAAGGTGGAAGTTGTTCCCTATAATGGCGCAAAGCAGCCAGGCTTTCGAATGATCCTGTTTATCTGATCGAGATCCGATGGGCAGGATAAGAATAAAAAGGTATAGATGGAATTAAGTACAAGGACCCTCCCGGACCCCTGCCAAGCTCTACTCGGCTGCATCCACAGCTTCATCGTAAAGACCCTGTCATGGTTTTACCTGACAAGGAACATACATGCTGGAATGAATTATTTTTCGTCATTTCAAGTCGAACAAGTCACGTGACCTAATGGGAGATAAGATAACCGATCATTTAGTCACATGACCTCAGATCTCTCCTGGCATAGTCATGTGACACTGAGCTCCTCAGCATTGCATCATAAGGTGCAATTGCCATGACACCATATTGCATGCTCAAGAGGAGCTCCGTCTCTGCGGAATATTATTAGGCAACCAATCAGGATAATTGGGACAAGTCGTATGATTGTAGCACCGTCCAGTAGAATAGCGTGTGACTCACTTATGTAGTACTGTACAGTAGCTAGACAATCATGTATATAAGGACCAGCAAGACGAGGAGAAGACCTCAGTCTTATTCTCCTTCGTCCACCACTACCATCACAGAGGGGTCTTACCAGACACTCTCAGTGTGCTATACATCCATTTGCATTCTCTCATTTGTGATAGCACCACCTGCCTCACCAGTAAGTCCTACTCTGCGACCAGCAACTTCAGCCTTGTCAGTGGGCACGTTGTACTGCCACAGCTCATCGCTGTTGGCTTTTACCCCGAGACCCTCAAGGGGACTCTTGTTTGGGTTGTCTATCTTTATCATCGGCGTGCCGTGACATTAGAATAAGACTGACCTTTTATGCCCCAACCAAGTGTCTAACACTGGTTGCTGCACATTTTCGCCCAGAGATACATCCGCCCAGGGCAGGGCTATTTCCACATCACTTCCCTCATACACTTTCCCCACGTCTCTACTGCTCAAGCCACTTCCTTCCTCCAAAAGGAACAGCACTGCACCTCGAACTATCAACGGTACCATTTCACCCAACGGACACTACCACCCTTATCAAAGACAGCCTAGAGTCCGTCGCTTTACTCAAGGCAATCTAGTTCAAGCACAGCAGCCAGAAGCTGGTCCTATAGGTCGCACAGCCGAGCATCATCAGCAAGAGTGCAAGGTTAGCCTTTGGATTGAAGGCATTTCTAAAGAGACTCCTAACCCGTCCACCCCACTCCTACCTCCTCATCCCTACACTACCTTCCCTGCCATCGACGTCATAAACTTCGCACTCTCCAAGAGCTATCACCCTCATGGTATCCACGAGAACCCCAAAGGGACGCTCCCTGAGAACATTGATCCCACTGTATATGCGACGATTCAGCGATACAAGGTCCTACAGCAGCCGCATATTGCTGCCAAGTTCACTGAGGAGCAGTTGAAGTGTCGAGACCAAATTCTTCGACACCTAGCAGCAATTAACTCGTGCATTGGAAAAGGGCATGATTTCACTTTCGTCGATAGACGCATTGCAATCAAGCTTTGCGTAGAATTAGGAAAGATCTCGTTCAAAGGGATCAACAAGGAGCAGGCACGAGTAGGAAAGGACTTAGTAAAGTTTGAGAAGGAGTCGTGCTACTGGCCCTACTAAGTCAGTTATATTCTTTTGTATCACCTGTATATGCCGCGATATAGTTTCAACTTCATTTATCAAAACTACACGGTAAATCACTACCTGGAAGACAGTGAATACCAAGTGGCATTCACTGTGTACCTCATTTATCAACCACTACTTGCATCATCAGCAATCGTCCTCCATTACAACTCAATCAACGTCGAATGAGCATACATTCGATTCACATACTTTCATCTCATTGACACGGGCTACGATATACACAACCCGCTCAGAGACTATTGTGAAGGACTTATCTGGGAGTTCTACGTGAGACTCTACCAAGAAGACGAAGAAAGGTTTTACCAAGTGTGGAACGAAGACTTCCCCTTACAAGCACATCCGAGGTCTGCAGCACTAGAGCGAAGGAATCGACTCATTGAGCAAGCACTCTTGGAGGCACGAGAATAACAACTCTATCAGGAGTTGACAGAAGAGGACCTTATTGCAAATAACACGGACCCCTTCTAACCCTGTTATCAAACTTGTTTCCCCTCTCCTCCACGTCGATTTCCATGTCTCAGTACAACCTCAGTAGCGTTATGTTCCCAGGAGGAACAACAAGAAGTGAGCCCACAGATCCCTGGAGAAGTCAGGCCACTTCCCAATCATCAGAACTGGAACCAGAACCTGCTGCCCCTGGTCCAGAACAACCCACAAGCAGCACACCAAAGGCGTCGGGAGTAGTCAGAAACCCCTCGCCTTCAGTATTACCAGAATTCACCACTCCCTCGGTGTGGGAATGAAATGGTGTACCTTATCCTACAATTGAGGAAGCAGCAAATGCAGCTGCACCACCCACAGTCCCAACTGACATCAAGGACTGGGTGCTGAATGTGGTCCGCTCGTTCATTATGAGGGATGTAGTAGGCTCCTACGAGGCTCTACATCAGAAAATGAATGAAAGACATGAACGAGTAGCTGCAAGTCTAGAGAACGAGATACTGGCTCACATCCACATCGAAATAATGGCAGTAGAAATGCGAGACCAGCTAAAAACTGCAAGAGCGCAAATCGGCACCCTCTCCGCCGATGCTGAAAGGCTCACTTGAAGCAACACCACTCTGGCAGCTGAAGCCCAAGCAATCTGCAAGGACTTCGAAGATTACAAGGATGAAGTAAAGGGTCAGACGGATGCCCTTTACTCAAGCATGGTCACCCTGAAGAAGGCTCAGGAGAAGACCACCACGTACATTGTTGGCTTGGAGTCTCAACTCAACAATGCCATCATTAATGCGCCTTCACAAGTTATCCAACAACCAGCTGGCCAATCCACCCAATCGCCTCGCAGAATTAAGCTTCCAGATCCCCCGAAGTATTCAGGGAGGAAATCGTCAGAGAACTTGAAACATGGTTCATGAATCTCCAAATTTGGTTGGACTATAACAACTTCACCGATGACAAGGACAAAATTCGGCAGGTCAACGTGCACCTGGAAGGAGGAGCTGCTCTATATATGAAAGAGTACGCAATCAAGCTCTCCTCCAGACAGCCCGTCGGCACATGGACAGAATATACACGGAAACTGGAGATGGCTTACAAGATGCTTGATCCCAAGCGCACCGCCCAAGCACAACTGGATGCGCACGGTGCCATCCATCACAAGACAATGATTGCCTTCGCAGAAAACTTCAGGGCCTATGCACCTGAATCAGGATACTCTGACCAAGACCTGATCGTCAAAATCAGGGAACAACGGTCGTCACACATTCAAACGGTAATGTCAGTGACAGAAACGCTAGACCCGGGCAAGATCTCCACAGATTGGATGGGTTATCTTGAATTCTGTCTAGAAATCGAGATCAAACACCTCCAACAGCTCTCAGGCAGCAAGCCCACTGGACAAACAACCGGAAGCAAGGCGACTGCCCCAAAGGACCCTAATGCCATGGACACCAGCACACGCATCGCTCACGAGCTTTCCTCGGAACAAGACAGATGGCTGGTGAATAAACTATGTTTATTTTGCGGAAAGCATGCCTATGAATGAGTAAAGCGATGTTCCTCCCCCAAGCCAGAATACAAGGGCAAGCAGTTTCAGACACGAACCGCCCCAAAGCAAGAAAAGGGAAAGGGTAAAGCGACGAATATGTGACAAGTGGAAGAAGAAAGTAGCGTGGCATCATCATCTCAAATTGCAGCATTAGAACAAGCAATTGCTGCACTTCGTGGGATGAGTACCACCTCAACTACTCCACCATCCAGCAAAGGCAAGGGCAAGGTCAAAGGCACAGACATGGCATCAATGGCATCGGCATCTACGGTCAAGGACACCAATGTGAGAATCATCGAGATGGATGAATTCTCAGAGGATTTTCAGTACGAAGTGTAGACAAGTCTGGTACTACACTTCAGGACAATTGTATTAGTACCGTGAGAATGAATGTACCTAGCGACCATCTATATATCGCATCCGTGGGTTTTTCTAAACATTCGATCGAATTGCCGATAAGATTCGTATCATGGGAAATCCAGACAACAGCACTATTAGATTCTGGAGCATTCTCTTACTATATCGACAAAGTGTTTGCTCAGAAACACGGGTTCACGATGACATCACTGAAATGTGAAATCAGAATCTTCAACGCAGATGCCAGTCCTAATAAAGGCAGCACGATTACTCATCGTGTAATCACAAGCATCTTAATTGGGGGGCACTGATCAACTGAGAGTTTGCACATCACTAATCTCGGATGCATGTCAATGATCCTTGGCATGAGATTTCTAGAAGAACATAACCCCCAAGTTGACTGGGAACATAGAGAGGTCACGTTCTCAAGATGCAGACACACTGTGAAGCAACAAGTCAGAGTAAGCGAAGAAGAAGTCAACCTCCTATCGCAACCTCGACTTGAGAATGAAGCAATTCTCCCTGACGTACACAAGGATGACAGGTGGGATCAGGAAGATAACTTCATTAACTGGATACACTTGCAAGACCAAGATCTTTGTAACATGGTGCACGACATCCTTGGCATAAGCAAGAAGGTAAAGGAGCATTTGATAGAACAGCCGGCAGAAGAGACACAGGACAAAGAATATTGGTCCAACTTCGTCTCTCCGAATTTCATCAATTCAGAGATGTGTTCTCAAAGAAGAGCTTGGAAAGGATGCTGATGCGTAAGCCCTATGATCATGCAATAGATCTTGTCCCAGACGCAGCAACCCCGAGACCGGCAAAAGTATACCCTATGTCTTTACGAGAGAAGAATTCGCTCAATGAATGGATTGATGGAGAGCTAGCTAAAGGCTACATTCAACCATCCAAATCCTCATACACCGCTCCGGTATTTTTCATCAAGAAAAAGGATGGCTCTCTTAGACTAGTCCAAGACTACAGGGCATTAAACAGTGTCACTAAGAAGAACAAATTTCCACTCCCCCGAATCAACGATCTTATTGATGGACTCTCAAGGGCTAGAATATTCACTACACTAGACCTGAGATGGGGGTACAACAATGTATGCCTTCACCAGGGAGATGAGGAAAAAGCAGCATTCATTACCCATAGAGGATTATTTGAACCCACTGTGATGTACTTCGGATTCTGTAATGCCCCTAGCACTTTCCAGGCCATGATGAATGATGTCTTAGGTGATCTCATTCGCACTGGAAAGGTGGCAGTCTACATAGATGATATCATAATCTTTATGGATAACCAAGAAGAACACAATCGTCTGACCAAAGACATCCTGCAGCGACTCAGAGACAATGACCTATTCGTGAAACCAGAAAAGTGTCACTTTGCAACCACTTTTGTCAAGTTTCTCGGACTCATAATCTCAAAAGGGTTGATACAGATGGACTCAGAGAAGGTCGACGGTGTTCTCAAGTGGCCAGTGCCCACCAAGGTAAAGCAAGTGCAAGCATTCTCTGGTCTGGCAAATTTCTACCAACGATTCATCAAGGATTTCGGATCGATGACCCGACCCTTGACTCTATTAATCCGTAAGGACGCAACATGGAAATGGGAAGATCCTCAACAAAAGGCATTCGAGGCCCTCAAAACTGCTTTCACTTCCGCCCCGATTTTAGCACTCCCCAACGCAGTCTGTCCCTTTAGACTAGAAATGGATGCCTCGGACTTTGCCACAGGCGTGGTCCTTGAACAGTTGGGAGAAGATGAACTCTGGCATCCTGTCGCCTATTACTCTAAATCACTCAATGAACATGAGTGAAACTATGAGATCTATGACAAGGAAATGCTAGCTATCATTCAGGCATTAGAAGAATATAGGCAATACTTTGAAGGACACCCTCACCCAGTTGAGATATGGTCGGATCATCTAAATCTTACCTATTTCCGACAAGCTCACACATTGACCAGATGACAAGCTCGATGGTCACTTTACCTTACTTGATTCAATTTTATTCTCTGTCACCGTCCCAGCAAGACAATGATGCATGCTGACCCTCTGTCCAGGAGGCCAGATCATGAGAAGGGGGTGAACAATGACAATTCCGGTCAGACTTTACTTCGACCCGAATACTTCACCATCCATGCAATCTCAGCCACTCATTCCTCCGAAGTTGATGATGCTCAACTTCTAGAAAGAGTGAAGTCAGCACTACAAGATGATGAAATAACCAAAGGTTACCAGCATCTACTAAAAGCTGGCAAGCGAGAGTTTGGAAAAGACCTCCAAGAGTGCAACTTTGAGCATGGATTGCTGCTCAGAAGAGGAAAGGTTTATGTTCCAAAGAACTCTAAGCTACGGTATGAGCTGATCAAATTACATCATGACATTTCAACGGCTGAACACCCCGGATGATGGAAAATGCAAGAATTGATCAGCAGGAACTATTGGTGGCCAGGGCTTACCATTGATGTTAAGAAGTACGTCCAAGGCTGCATCACCTGTCAGCAAAACAAGGCAACGAAACAGAAGCCTTATGGACTATTGCAACCTAATCCAATACCAGGAGGGCCATGGGAGGTAATCACATGTGATTTAATCACTCAGCTACCCCCGAGCCCAGACCAGAAGGGAGAAAAGAAGATGGCTATCTTAGTCATCGTCGACAGATTCACCAAACATGCTCACTTCTATTCGGTGGATGACACTGTGACAGCGTCTCAAGTCGCGTCGATTTTCTACAATGAAGTCTTCAAACTTCACAGAATACCTAGGCAGATTATATCTGATCGAGGAACCCAATTCTCAGCCAAACTATTTCAGGAATTCTGCCAGAAACTTCACGTCAGATCGACAATGTCAACAGCATATCACCCTGAAACGGATGGACAGACCGAACGAGTTAACCAAATTCTGGAACAATACTTATGCATGTACTGCAATTACCGACAAACTGACTGGACCATGCTATTGCCCACAGCAGAATTTGCGTACAACAATCAAGCTTCAGAATCAACAGGTTTATCTCCATTTTTCATCGAGCATGGTCGACACCCCCGAATGGTACCAGACATATTGAAAGGAGTACAGCATCCATTTCTGGAACACTTGTTCCATAACCGTGATCAAGCACAGGAACAAGCTCGTGCCGCTTTGTCGTTAGCAGCAAAAAAAATGAAATGGTATTTCGATCTCAAGAAGCAAAACATCCCTTTCAAAGTAGGAGACGAAGTGCTCATTCGAAGAAAAGATCTCCACGTTAAAGTCAAAAGCCAAAAGCTGGCGACTCAAAACTATGGACCATTCAAAATCCTCGAAAAGGTCAGAGCCGTATCATTCAAACTGCAACTACCAGCGGACATGAAGATACATCCCGTGTTTCATGCTTCCAAACTGATTATGTTCCACCAAGACTCTATTCCGGGATGCAAACCCCCTCCCAATCCACCAATCATCATAGATGGAGAAGAGGAATGGGATGTGGAAACGATCCTAGACTCTAGAGTCAGGTACAACAAAACCCAGTATCTTATAAAATGGTTGGACTACGACCACAGCGACAATACTTGGGAACCTTTGGAAAACCTTACCAATGTCAAAGACAAGGTGGAGGAATTCCACAAGACACACCCAGATGCTCCACGAGCAAAGCCGCAAATGCGCAAAGGACACAAAATCGCCATGACCGACCACCCTGATGAATTCATGATCTTCTATCGCACACACCCCGATGCACGAGCACCCTATAAAGGATCTTCTGGTGCTGCTGGCTGGGATGTTAAATCTACACAGGATTTACAAACTCCTCCACAATCCAGAATGCTTGTAGGCACCGGGCTAGCAGTAGACCCTCCAAAATGGACCTATATCTGAGTAGCACCCCGCAGTGGGTTAGCTCTCAAAGGAATTGATGTCATGGCAGGGGTAATCGATCCAGATTACACAGGAGAAATAAAGGTTCTACTGGTCAACACCATGACTGAACCTTTTGCAGTCAAAACAGGCGATCATGTCGCACAACTCATATGCGAACGATATGCTCCAGGAATCATCTCTGAGGATGACAGTTCAGTGGTTTATAGGATACAACGAGGTGTGCAAGGCTTTAGCTCATCAGGATGATGAACCTTGAGAAGGGGGTGATGTCATGGTTTTACCTGACAAGGAACATACATGTTGGAATGAATTATTTTTCGTCATTTCAAGTCGAACAAGTCACGTGACCTAATGGGAGATAAGATAACCGATCATTTAGTCACATGACCTCGGATCTCTTCTGGCATAGTCACGTGACACTGAGCTCCTCGGCATTGCATCATAAGGTGCAATTGCCATGACACCATAGTGCGTGCTCAAGAGGAGCTCCATCTCCGTGGGATATTATTAGGCAACCAATCAGGATAATTGGGACAAGTCGTACAATTGTAGCATCATCCAGTAGAATAGCGTGTGACTTGCTTATGTAGTACTGTACAGTAGCTAGACAATCATGTATATAAGTACCAGCAAGACGAGGAGAAGACCTCAGTCTTATTCTCCTTCGTCCACCACTACCATCACAGAGGGGTCTTACCAGACGCTCTCAGTGTGCTATACATCTATTTGCATCCTCTCATTTGTGATAGCGCCACCTGCCTTGCCAGTAAGTTCTACTCTGCGACCAGCAACTTCAGCCTCGTCAGTGGGCACGTTGTACTGCCACAGCTCGTCGCTGTTGGCTTTGACCCAGAGATCCTCAAGGGGACTCTTGTTTAGGTTGTCTATCTTTGTCATTGGTGTGCCGTGACAGACCCCATCATTTAATAGTACTACATATTAAACGGCTTTACGATAGTCATGCTGTCGTTGCCTGGTACTCCTTTGGGCATGTGTCATTGGCTCGGTACTTCTTCAGCCATTTGTAGAGCAGTTTCCCACTTGCAGATCAGTCCTGACCCTCAATCCTCTTGATCCACTCCCTCGCCAATTTTCTTGGTTCTGAAGGTTACAGAGTGATGTCATCTGAGCCGCCCTTTGGTCAAAGGCTGCAGATGATATACCTTTGGCTTGCCGCCAGGGCGATGGTCCCTTTCTTGAACCTTCGAGTTGCTAGGATAGTCGAAGGGGTTTTCCGGAGTTCGTGCATTCCGCATCGATAGGTGGATGCTCTTTTATACGAGCCCGTGCCTGACCAGGTGAAGTCTTCTTCAGCCTGACTAGTAGTGCTAACTACTTGTAACTACAGAGGCCAACCTAGAGCAGTCCGCAGCTGCAGGAGGGTCTTAACAGCCTTTGATTATTTTGCTGCCAGTGTCCAACAACTCCTGAGGGTCTTCTAGTATCCTGGTTCACTGGTCATTCCAACCGAGTGTTCTGACAGTTCGTTCCGCCACTAAGTGCCTATTTACTATGTGGCTACGAGTAACTAATCCCCTAACAAGTCAGGTACACAGGGGGGATGAAGCCTGCACCTGGCACCACTTTAGCACTGAGCAGGTGTGTTTAGTCCCTCAACACCCGAGGTTATGCAGGATATGCCGATGGTGTTCCAGAAGAGGTGCTGCCTACAGCTTTGTACTGGAGGCCCGTTCCAATAGTGGAGCCCATACTAAATATGCGGAAGATTCTCCCTTGTTATCCACTAGCCTGTTACACGCGAAGGCTACTCACTTGTTATGGTTGATTCAAACACATCGTCATAAGCGAACCGTGCCCTACCACCATTAGACGACTTACTCGTCCCGCAGACCCTTATATCCAAATGCATGGCAGCTAAGGCCAAGAATATTTTATATGGACTAGCAGCCCCACACTTCTCATGTGCGCCGATCCACGGGGTCAGGGAGTCCACCCTGCCTGTTTCCGTGTGGCAAGCCTACAAGGATAGCGGTACCCTTTTAAGGAGCACTGCGTCCCTCCGCCTCAGCTCGTTGCACTGTCTCAAGGCTGAAGCCCTCTGTGCCCCGATGGGTTTTAACTGCCCAGTTCCATGGAGTCCCCTTATGCCTGGGGTCATGGCAAGGTTTGCGACAGTAGTATATCGTCGACTTTTGTGGGGAGCTTTCTTAGGGCCCATGGTATCTCGACTTGTCATGCGCCTGTTTCTTCAAGGGGTGGCGCCCCAGTGGACCTCACCGCCTAAGGGCTCTGGTCATCTCTTCGGTTGTTTTTGCCCTAATGCAGGGAGGACGGTGCCCCCAAGGACTTTCGGCTCACACCTGGGCGGTGGACCCATGAGGTGGCTTTTGGTTTCGCACAGCATAATGCCTATCGTGGGGGAGGGCCTACTCCCTGGGGCCCCGCCAAGACTGCCTGTCCCAATGGGGTGGTCGTGTCAATGTCGGTGACTGCCTGTCATATGCCTGAACGTCGAGGGGTCGTTGGCGAGTCCATGCCGTGGAGAGTCACCGAGTGCCTAGCTGCTGTAATGCAGACAGTAGGGAAGTAGAAAGAGGGGGGCCGTCCTAAGGGCCAACAAGTGTGGAGACGTGTATGGCCTGCCTGGCCACAGTGATGTGAAAAGTGATATAATGATCACCAAAGAGAATGGACTGAGGTGACGACCGGTGCTCACAGCCCAAGAGGAGCAGTTTCGAGTTATGTTAAGGATCTAGAGGACCCGTGCACTCTCACTCTCACCTGACCTGCCAGGGTCCTTTGGCTCAAGTAGAAGGGGTAAAGATCTAACTCAAAAGTGAGGTGGAAGCCTCAGCTTGAGCCAGTATATATATACGAGGGGCTTGCCCCCCTGGTACCAGGATGTAGGTCCCTAGATACCCTAGAAATACAGAAATAGGCCTGTACAGACATGCTACAGACTGGTAACTAGGCTACTGGACGTCCCTGGGGATAGGTACAAAAGAAGGGGAGTCCGCACTTTGAGACGCGAGAGTGGCGGAATGTCCATATATGGTAAGGGTATCCGATGGATTGGCGACGACGGAACAGGGTCGGAGCACCCACAAAGTGTGGTGTGGGAATGGATGGGAAAAATCATGACATCAAGGCTTGACCCCTTAGACTTGACTGGGGTCAACTGATTGACCCCCCCGTCAATGACCGGGTTAAGATGGGGTCAAGAGGTCAAGCATGACCTGCACATGATCCATTATTTACCATAATTAGCAATAATGGCTTGAAGTGATGGAGCACGAAGCATTCTCGCAATGAACTGACATTTGGTTGAACTTGTACACTAATATGAATGTTCACGCGCCACCACGGGGTCATGCGCATATCACGCTTGACCCTTTCTCTAGGTCAAGATCAAAGTGCCTTACCCCTGGTTATTGCCCGGTTATCACCCGATAACCGGGGTCAACGACAACACTGTTGCGCGCTGCCTTTTAGTCAGCCATGGCTGTGCACTTTTTACATTAATTGCACGAGGCTTGGGGCACATGGCTATATGGTACAGTAGTACTTCTTATTCGTGACCTGTCCTTCAGTTTGCAGGGAGATGCCCTCGAATAACTCAGAGCCGTTGCCCTGTTGCTACTGCACTTGCAGCAAGTGCTTCCTATACACGCATTACATGGACATGCCACACTTCAAAACATCTAGACAAGATATGGAATCGATGACGCCACTATGGTAACATGCTGCATGAAATGCATGATCGGGAAGGTATAAGGTATATACGCCCCACAACATGCTTATATCAGAAAACAAGCTGAATACTACCCCTCTACCTGGGTTCTTATGCTAGAATCTTGTCCACGACCTCATGAACCATTGCAACCACAGCATTTCTGCGATCAAGTCGATCTTCGGCAGCATTTAGCTGTGCCTGTTCTTTGGTCAAGGTGAATCTCCAGGGCACAAAGCAGTACCGAGCCTGAGCGTGAGATTCTTATGGCCCTTCGCGTTCTCTCCCTCGCTACAAGTGGTGGGTTTCCACATTAAATTCCTCGTAGAAGCTTGCATGTTGTGCCGATCTCTTTGTCGAATGGAAGACAGTGCTATCAACCATCCGATTGTGAGTGGTTGCGGTATCGGTACGCTGGATATGGTGCTTCAACAACATCGCTGATGTGACAGGTGCAAGACACAGTGCGGAGGCAAGTGTCATCTGTCTGCGAAAGCCCACAATCTCTGATTGTCATGTTGGATTATACCTCTTCAAATGCATCTTCAAATGCAGAGGACCCCAGGATTAAAGGGTGAGCTCTGACCTCAAGCCACAGCTACTAGTTGACCATTCACTGATGCTGTCTCGTCTGCTCCCTGCAGGCGCGCATGTCAGCACTCGTACGATTCTTTCCAACTATCCGCTCCAAGCAGTTTACTGAAGCCTCCCAATGAGAATTGAAGCCTAGAACACGACAAAGCAGCTTGTGGCAGCAGTCCCGCGCCACTAGTGTGGATCGATACTCAATCATACAACATTACAGAAATATCGAGTCGTAGAACGTGAGGATAAGAAACAGCAGAAATGTTGCATGCATTGTGCGTGTATGAGTGGTTGTTACGCGGTGCTCTTTGAGATCACATCGTTTCATGTACAACTTCTGATTCATCGCAGAACTATGCTGGTGACGTTGAAGTTGAATATGAAGAAATGGCGGATCACAATACCGAAGATGCAAGACTTGATGAAGAGTGCATAATAATAATACTCCTGTCTTTCAAATTTCACATGATCTGAGCAAACTGACAACGTTGGCACGCTGCAGAAGGTCAGATGAATGGCTTGCTGAATGTGCTGCTGATCATCGTTCCAGGCCGTTTTTCCGACGTCGCAACGTGTCAATGTGGTGAGCAAGGCAAGTGCATCTGCATTGCCTTCTATCTGCATGCCGTTCATTGCACCCTTCTTCTCTCACTGTCATCGGTTGTATCTTGCTGAGTTTATTGAATTCTCTGAGTAAGGACATCCGCGGGTCATTTCTGAGGGGTTCTGCGTGTTCTCTACGCTATTGAACACGAGGCAGTTTGATGTGGTCTACAACGATGCAGTGCAATGACTCAGCAACCATGAGACAGACATGGAGCTTTTTCATCGGCAATTTGTGAATGTGCCAGGCAGTTGTCATGAAGACGAGAAAGTGGAGAGAATGCATGACGTGCAAACAGGACAGATGGCACCGTGCAGGATGTGATCTGTGTTGCAAGGGAAGTGATAATCGAAGATCATTGGGTGAACTGGTGCGTGCGGTCACTGATCACTGGTCTGCTGAAGAGTGGTCACTGGTTGATTGGGGTAGGGCCAAATTTTGGCATGTTTGGATGACCTCTTGAAGAGATACGTCGTCCTGTACCATGAGCGTCAATTGATGCCCTATTTACCAGCAACAAACACCAAGTCAGTGTGCCCGCCGATCTTTCCTACGCCACGACATTAGACATCCAGCTCATGGTCAAGGTGCTCTCGATCATCGTGCTTCTGCTCGAGATGTCACCCAATGTCACACTCACCGAAGTCAAGGTGGCACTGCTCAAGTTCATTCATAACGTTCTTCGCCGTGTCTCACTTATATACACGTTACGATACACATCGTGTCAAATCTGGTAACTTCGTTCAGAAGTCGCAGCCTGCAGGTTATCAAGGCCAACGGTCTGCCACTCATACTATCCATTGCAGAGTTCTCGAAGCATCTCAAGGTTCTTCATCCATTGTTGCCTGTTGGATCGTCGCTGACAGAGTTGATGCTATGGCCATCTGTCTGCCACCATTTGCTTCACGGCACCTTCTGATTTTAAATCCCAAATCATGACATGTCATCGCAAGAAATTATCTCTGCTCAGATTATTCCGAGCGCTTCTCTGCAATTAAGAGGATGCTTGCGCTGCTGCTACGTTCGCGTCTGATAGATGCTTATCAAAACACTACTGCGCGACCCCACAGATAGCGGCAAAGGAAGTCGATCAATATCCTTCTGGACTCAGGGTGCAGTATGAGATGCAGCTGGAGCTCATGAAGGATGCCTATGTGCCGCTGTGGAGTATCTGATATTTTTATTCTCGCTAGTCCCAGATAGTAAGCTATCTGCATATGCTGATCGGGGTAACGAGGCTGAACCACACATGTTTAGCTTTTCACAAACTCGCCTTTCACTGTTTCCTGTTGTCAGCCATCCAATCTCTTGTGGAACAATCGTATGTCTTGCTGCTTTTGTTCCTCCCTCATACGACACAACAGCACATTAACTCGGCTGATCCAAAGATGAATCCGACCATCCGAGTCGATCCCCGTTACTATTACGAGCAAGAAGCTGACCTCGAGATTATCCTGGATTCATTTAAGTACGTTCGAAAGATTGCACACACAGAACCGTTCAAGGACATTGTGATCGCGGAAATGATGCAAGAATCCAACATTGCACATGATGGACAGCTCCGTGATGGGTATCTCTGTGACATGCTCACAATGTTGCACCTTATCTAATAGATCTCACTTGAAGGTCACTGTGCAAGCACTTCTGGACGGCCTGGCATATGTCAATTGCGAAAGCTGCTGTTCGCACGAGCTTGTCATTTTTACAGGTATGATTGGGAGCCTGTGTATGCTACTGAAGGAAAAAGACAGAATTGTCGACCCATCATTGAAAGTAATTGTGCGGCTGATCATGACGATGCTATATCTGACTTGTAATATGGGTGCAGGTATACGGAATGAAGTGTCATCGATCAGAATGTGTGTCGTCGATGTTTCGATCAGGAGTCCCACTAGAGGTATCGTCTCATATGCAAGATAGGTTGGTCTTCCGCATCAAGCCCGACATCATCAAGAAATGACAGCTCTAGATGGAAGTGCGGGGATCACGTTCATAAGATTTGTTACGAAAGCTTTGTAGTTTAGTGTCGTCCTTCGTGCATTACAAATCTTGGTTTCATCGACTGCACTGCTATCATGGTGGATAAGGAACAACATATACAGCTATTGCACACATACGTCGAGGCCTCCTGATTGCTAATGTAGATATATCAAGTACAAAGGTATTTGACATGCACTGACAGTTTGACCGTGAAACCTTCAACATCATGGGCTCTGCATACAAACGTAACATAACATTATCATAACAAATTCTGCTGAAAGTTGGTCAATCGCGATCCAAACGAGTGACCCTCTGCTCCAATGTGGTCTTCAACCGGATCCACCATGCATAGAGAGAGTCATTTCCAATGACGTCTAGCCTTTCCTGAAGCAACAACCACTCCTTGCAGCCTTAATCCTTCGTTAATAAGGCTATCGAATCAACGGCATCCTCGCTGTCAATCTCCAAGTTAGAGAACACGTGGACCCAATGCTTAGGTGGTGCTGAGGTGGTCGAAAGCCCTCGTAGAAAGGCATTGGCGGCAGGATTTCGCACTGGAACCGGTGCATCCAGGTCCTGCTCCTGACAATGAGCAATAGAATGCCGAACATGAGACGATCAACAATCACCTGTGACAGTGAACCCTCATTATTGCTCACTGAACTGTCATCGTCATCGTCCACCAATGAACCGTCATCGTCATCGTGCACTGCTGAAATGTGATCGTCCCTCGCTGAACCGTCATCGTCCCTCACTGAACTGTCATCATCCCTCGCTGAATCATCATCATCCCTCGCTGGACCGTCATCATCGTCTATCACTGTAGGCACTGTTCCGTAGTCCTCCCTCACTCCTTCTTCAGGATCCATCATATACTGTACGTCAGATCGCACCCTTCCCACCCTGGTAGCTGCGGTGGATGATACCACCTAGGCATCAAGATAATTATGATCAGATGGTGCTCTAGAAACCCTATGATTGTGGAACGTATGCTTCTCGATTGACCAAAAGCAGTGTTCATGCTTTGAGGCATGGCTGGAACATAATTCCACTTGCCATTCACATCGCGCCCAATGGAAGGATGCCTCCCATAACGGCGCTTCATTGCATCGAGTCGCAATTGCTCGCTGTGCTGCAACCAAGAGGCATCGACTCATTTGTACAGCACGATCACGTTCATGATATAGACTTACCTGTCTCGAATCATTTTCTCTAGCCAGCATAATCCTGGAGGTAGTCTCCCGTGGGCAGAAGAGACAATTCCTTCAAACCTCTGCGGGAACGCTCCGGATATCCTTGTCTGACCCTGGAGGGAACTCTAAAGGATGTGATATAAGTCTGAAGGAAGGAGGAGAATGAAACCAAGCACAGCACACAGCTTATGTAGCCTTTTCGGGCGCTCAGCCTCTGGCCTCTGGCCCAGACACACAATGGGCTACAAGCACAAGTAACAGGACCAAAACCACTCTCCAGCCAAGCCACCCGTACGCCACCCATACGCCACCGTACGCCACCCCTGTGATGTGTCGCAGCAAGCAAGTCCTATTGAGAATGTTCACCGCCTGTGCAGACCGCGGTATTGCCCAACGGCGAAGTCATCAAAATGTGTCGAAGAGCGCACAAGTCAGCGGCTGGCTTTGGCCTGACAAAACTGTTCATCGGCGCCGAAGGCACACTGGCGTCGTGACCGAGGGCGAGGCTTTCAATGCAGGTCATCATATGACTCGCTGAGCCCCCACGTCCCTCTTCCAGCCACACTACACTTGGCACCTCTGCTGCCAACCAAGGTTGCCATGGTGCAATTCCCTGACATGGAGCATGCCGTCAGCACTGTACAAGAAATACTGAACAGTGCTAACGGACCGCACATCCATATGTGAAATCTCAACATCCATTATTGTTCACTGAGCTTCACGACACCACAGAATGCATCGAATTGCTCGATGACAACAGTACGCATCTCCTACATGCACCACTTCTAGCAGCATTTCTCTAATCCCTTCACAGTGATGGGTGGAATCAATTCCACCGGTGAGATCTCCCGAAAGCTCCCCATCAGTGACATGCTCTTCTTCAAGATCCAGGGTGACAAGGAGGGAATTAGCATCACCGCCGCCACTGTGCAGCAGACGTGTGCAGGCATGGGAGCACACGCTTTAAGTTTGCGCAGACGGATGAGGAGGTCGCCAAGCTGTGGGAGAGCCGCAAGTACGCGCTCATCAGCACGATCGGGAGCATGCTCGGCTCGTGCTGCTAGACGATGGATGTGTGGTGCATGCTATCTGGGTTTTTGGTCATATGCGTTGGATGGGCTGACTGACGAGGAGAGGTAGCGTGCCACCGTCGCAGTTGCCACAGCTCGTTTCGACTATTTTCGGCCATGTCAGTGATGGTAGGTGCTCTCAGCTCTTGGTACATGCCACTGTTCTCATTGTGCTTCTTGCAGGCAACTTCCATGCACTGATTCTGTTCATGGACGACAAGGAGCTCCAGAAGGTGAGCGAAGCCATGCACTGATTGGTCCTCCGCACGATTCGGCTGGATGGAAGCTGTGAGCGTTTGGTGTTTCCTTTTGATGCCACGCATCGAAGTTAACAGCGACAATGCAGGTACCGGTGAGCATGGTGTCGGCATCGGTAAGAAGGAGTATTTGGTAGCTGAGCTTGGAGAGAATACTATTGAGTTGATGAAGACGATCAAGCGGGCCATCGATCCGCTGAATGTCATGAATCCAAGCAAGGCAAGCACAGAGGGCTTGTATGGAAAGTGCCGTGGCTCACTCGATCCTCCCGCAGCTGTATCTCGACCCGGTGGACGAGAAGCACAAGTAGACAATTACAATTGTAATGTAGGATCGCTGACTTCATCCAACGCCTTGGTGCTGGCACGCAGTGGGCCCTTAACATATAGGACAGCATTACGCAGTGATCTGCAGAATTGAAGCGCTGATCGTGACATTGAATGGGTGATAACTACAGTATGGGGTGATTCATACCAAGCATGGCAGCATCACCGACCCTGTCACAACAGAATAACAAAGTTGTTTCTTTTCCCCGGTCGTAAAACTTTCTTGCTCTCATATAGTGCTGGATCGGTCATGTGTGACATGACGGGCGTCATGCGCAGGAGCCAATACACCATCTTGCCACCCTCTTTCCACCATGTCTTTATCGTGGAGAGCCCAATGATCTGTAGGAGGGCTGTGAAGTGCTCTGGCATGAGCCTGTAGTGCGAGTTGAGGATGCATGGAAGTGGTAGCTTGTCGGAGGAGGGGAAGGGTGAATGATTGTGTGATGCAGGTCGTACGTGGATAGACTTATGGCGATGAACAGGAGGCCATCTGACACAGCATCGTGTGAGCTAGTCACAGCATCTTGCCTGTGTCACCAAGTTCAGTACTTGCCCTTCAGCATCTGAGGGAAATGCATATGTACCTCGATCTTTTGCATCCGGGACAAAATTCAGGATGAGGCTGAGGCTGATGATGTCCCACTTCTCGCAGTGCTCTGCTTCGCTCATGAGCAGAAAATCTTGCTCGGCGATAGCTGGGTGGTTAGATCGGAGGTCTATTGATGTGTTGTGGATCCATGCAGTGCACGATGCATAGTTGTTGGGTTTGAGAGCACCAACTTTGAGTAGCCTGTAACGCTGTGCATGAGCGCTCTCATCGTTCGAGGGCAAAACCAGCTCAGATATACCTCAACATTGTATGCTCCTTCAGGCTTGCACTGGCCACTCCCCGTTCTTTCAGCCACCCCATCAAAACCTTTTCGCTGCCGCCTAGCCTTTTCACAAAATCATTCACCTGATGGGAAACATTGCATTATTCAATTCCATTCTTACACCTTTTTTGCAAAAATGAATCAGTACTTTCTTCATTGTGAGAAAAAATGGAAAGATCATTGAATGCCAAAAAGGTACTATTTTCATACCTTTTCTCATATTTTATGCATATATGAGTTTCATTTGCGGGAGTCGAACCCGGGCATGATGGGCACTCCCAGGGCTTGAACCTGGGTGGGGTACTACTAGCAAGCATTGCTTGCTGTTTTACCAAAGTGTCCTGTTAATCTTTTTCTTCGTATTTCATAGTCATTATGTCTGTTGGCTGTATGAGCACCTGATCACCTTGCACCATATCTTGGCTACTCATTTATGTTGTAGGGGCTGTGTCTTTTTGGTCCTATCAAATGTTTAATGCAATCAGAAAATGCAAGGGGCTAGCTAGCCCCATCATTTCCAGCATCACAGGGCCAGAGGAACTCTTCCCTGATGCTCTGACCACTGGCACCCACAGCTCAATTTCTCATTCTTTGGCAAACCTCCCGTGGCATTCAGCATCTTTCGTCTTCTCCTATGTCTGGAGTCTCTGGTGTTCTCTTCTCCATCCATCCTGCCTGCACTGAATGGAAAGACCTACTCCACTTGTGATGCTAGGCTTCTCAGAACTGCCCAGTTCTGTGACTTTTTCGGTGTTCCTGAGTCTACACCATGCAAGCTGACGTACACACAGAACTGGCTGTGTGGTCCTCGCCATGGATGGCTTTGCACGAAAGGGAACATGTTCGTGAAGCAGGTCAATCAAAGGCTTAAGGTGCGTGCTCGCTATTTGTCTCTCGGTGCGCTCGTCTAATGTCCTGCTCAGTGGTACCACCATGCCCATGCGAAAGACATGCCCCTTTGCACCATCACCCCATCGCTGGTCTCATTCAGACCATGCTCTACACTCACCGTTTCTTCCCCTATCATGTTTACAATCTTCTCGGAGGCATCGAAGAGGACGGTACGTGCTCGCTGCTCTGTCACGTGCCCCCATGCTTAATCTGACATGTATCTCCAGGTTCAGGTGCAGTTTATACCTTCAATCCCGTAGGCTCATATGAACATGAAGCATGTCGAGCCACGGGTGCTGCGCAGTCCCTGGTCCAGCCATTCCTAGATAACCAGGCATATGTACCTTCTTGTGGAGAACCGGAGATGTCCCTCCCCTGGGTGAAATATACTCAACAGTCTCACGTTCGCTAATAACGTACAATATATGTGCAGATCTATCATAAGAATCAGCTCGCTGCTCCCGGGACAACACATCCCGCACATCTTCTGCTACTGGACGTCCCTTCCATCGTGATCGACTCGTTCACGAGTGCGACAGAGCGATATATCGAGGTCGGTGGCGGCCTCGAGATGTATGTCGTCCTCGCCAATGGCCGCAGTGCACAAGGGCTTGCAAGCATTAATGGCTTGGCGAAAATCACAACAAAGGCAGAGGGCGACCGGATGTTCGTTATACGGGAGTTGAAGAAGGACTAGTCGGCATGTCTATTGTAGACTATCATCCAACTATGCTGTATACTTTCGCTGACTAAATGGCAGTCGCTTTTGTTTGCTTCGCACTCATCTCTGATTCATTGCATGCATGATTTACGATTCATAGAATAACCAGGCTCATCACTGCAGGCTGGTGTGTATCAATAGATGTGTGCAATCTGCATACAGCTATTACAGTACTTGTATGGATGCCAAAGGTGTGATGCCCCTGTGATGCCAAAGATGTGATGCTGAACTCAATGGCACTGACCTAAGCACATGGATATTGACTGCAGCTGAACAATCCAAATTTCATTTCGAAGATACGTACATTGCTTCACCAAAATACGTACTAGGTACAGAAGAATGCAGTATGTGCAGCTGAGCTCCCAAACACGTGCTAATACAGTCCCAAGCCTATGACAGAATGCTCTCCCGACAGTCAGGTTCCCATAACATCGACGATATACCCTGCCAGCGCCCTCAATCCTCGAAACGCCTCAGCATGTCTTCTGGAAGGTAAACATTGTGTTTGATTCTATCAAACGCTTGCAATTGCCTGTCGCGGTGAACCAAGCTGAGGCATCCTCGCTGCCCATATTCAACAACCAATTCCTGAACAGTCTCTAAGATGTGACACAACTTCTTGAACCCATTCTGGGCACTTATATCAAAGTGTTTCATCTCTGCATCATCAACCGTGCATTTGGTGATCGTCTCGAACTCTCCACGGTTATGCACTGCAAGGTAGTGGTTGCAGATTTGGGACAGGTATAACTGTGGATATGCATCACGCCAATCATACTTCTCGGCATTCTTTCACGACTGAGTGCTCATCTCGATTAGAGAGCTCTGCAGCACCTCTGATCCAGTGCGAATCACGTCAAGCTCAGCGGTGGATGCAGCGCCGTCTACCATCAAGTCGCACGTCACAGTTGCTACGTTCAGGCCAGATAACATATCGGAAAGTGAGCCGATATTGGAAGAAGATGAAACGACTCCGGGCGAGGGCAAGGCTGCGATGAAGGCATTAACCTCAAAGCGGACAACTAGTGTAAGACCATCAAGATCCTGCGCAAAAATCAGCATAATTTCATCTTGATACAATTTGTATACTGACATATTTGATGATGCGATGGTGACTAGTGCCTCGCTCGCATCCTTTGACCTTATCCGTGCTCGCCCGCTCGAAACTGAAGCCATATGTCATCCGCTGCAAGTGGCCCATGTGTTTCTCCCAGCGATTCAACAGAACGGTCCTGGTTCTGGCCAGTTGTGTGTCAATCCTGAACTCCTTGGCAGAGCCATCTGTGTCATTGATTCAATGGAGAAACTTACGGAGGCCATTGTGGTCAGTGACAAAGTTGACTGATCTCCAATCGATGCTGTCTCCCTTCCTTCCATCATTATATCCACTGCATGAAACAGAGGATACAACGTGGATGATGGCATGCGATATCCGTTCTGATCGACGAACTTGATGCCACTGTCTGGCTGAACTCGGTACGGAAAAGATCTGTCCTGCCACTGTGCTGGAGACCCTAAGTGCGTTGATTGTTGGTGTACGGTATGAGCGAGCAATGTGATGTCTGAATAGCACTGACCGGGAACGAGTATCGTCAGCTTTGTCTCATTAGTCCAGTTGTACGAGCCCAGATATTTGAGCTGCTTGATGACAATGTCCTTGCCCGACGAGTCTGTCGGCTTTGACAGGGTCTTGATCGGCTTTCTTTCCAGTCCGTCGTCGAGCTCTCTGTCAGGCAGAAGGCCACTTGTTGCAATGGTAGTTGGACGAGGGCAACCTTCACCTCCAATATAACCTCTGCAATCATGATGATAACTGGCGTAGTATATATTGTCCTGAGAAGTATAGAATCAAGGAGGTGGGTGGGAGTGGGTGAGGGTGTGGTTAGACAGATGCAGACTGTCCTCGTGTGGCAGATGCAACCGAATGCACGTAGTGATGTGCCGGGCTCAGCCTCAAGCCGTAAGCTGGGCCGAGCTGAGCCGGGCCTGGGGGGGCGGTCCAGAATGAGGAATGAGAGGTGGGCCAAATGCTTGCTTACTAAGCAGGTGGGCGAAGAAGAGGCACGCTTACCTGACATATGCGCTACATTTCTTCCCACCCACCACGTCCTCGCTACCAGCTCACACAGTAGTTCCTTTTAGTTGTTCTCATAGTTTTTTTTTTTTTAGCTATAGCTTACCCCAACACCAGTTGTTTGAAAACAGCTATGACTCACAGCCACAGAGTGTGCTCGGAAAATCCACCCAAGGCCTAGCGAGGGACTCAGACGAACTTGAGAACCACAGCGAATCCTCATGGACCACTTGGGCAGGTGCCTCTGCGGAGGCCATAGAGCTCAAAAACGAAGTGCGGGCTGCTCGAAACGCAACCAAAGCAAGTAGACGTGACCTTGGTGAGGAGACTGTCCTGGATGACAAGTTATTCCTGGACCTTGCGGGCAATGAAATTCTGTCTGGCGTGGCGAAGCCCACAGACCTTTCTGTGGACCCTACTAATCCTTTGGCTAGTGCTGCTCAATTCGCAGGAGTTGTCAGCGGCATGTCACCGACCTCAAGAGCCACCTTCATGAATGCATTCCAGGTGCTCATCGGGGGCACATACACCCACTCCAGAGGCTGTACCCATGAAGCAGGAGGCGAAATCTGTCAGAGAAACACATTTACTCCACTGCTCACGAGCGCTCATCAGACCTTTTCCAGGAGAGTGGCCACGAGATTCCTTCTGCTATCATTAAGCTCGCATTGGCACAGTTTTATATCCCTCTCACACTCCTGACATCAGACACCATATGCAAGATGCATCTCGACCCCATGGCTATAAAAACGTGAAAGGTGTCTACCAATGATGGGCATGTGGACCTCCTCAACTTAAGTGCTTGGCCGGAAGAGGAGTCGCTTCCAGCAGAGTGTTTCACAGAAGCTTGGCGCAACATGCTGAAGGTATATAAGTGGGTGTCTGACGAGGCTGTCATCGCGCGATTTCAGTCTCACTTTGACTACCTCATGGCCTTGCCAAACTTCGCAAAGAACTACAAAGCCAGTTGAGGTTCGACTGTGAGGCACATCACATGTACACAAATGTTCCAGCTCCTTTTCCCCTAGATATGGCAATGTACCGCAGCCGTCTTAGCGAAATAAAGATGGAGGTCGCACAGGAGCAATTCGATTCAAACTCGACGCTGTCACACTCTTCTTCTTCTAGTCGATTCTACCTGTATTTTCATGGCGAGGTGCATGACTGTGCTGGTGATGAGCGTTCATGCTCAGATGATGATCATCCTCACACCAGTGTCGAGTGCTCCCAATCCTTTTGAGATGGCAGATGGCCCTCATCCTCTGAGTCGACCTGCCTTATTTGTGCGAGGACTGGTTACTGAGCTTTTGCATGCTCACATACATCCCTGCAAGACAATCGGAAGACCATCTGCATATTCGTTGACCGAAAGCTGCTCATCAATTTCAGTTGTCAGGAACTCTGCATCCTCTGGAACCTTACTGGAGTCTGTACCTGTTGCTGTCCCTTCGAAATCTCACACTGCTGGTACTTCTGTGGGTCTGCCGACCACCACGCAGGATCCGCCACTTGTGTCAATGCATGATAGGATCATAACACCTTACAATGCAAACACCTTTGAGGCCCTCTTGTGGCATCACTCCCTTCTTGATCCTTCACTACCTCACAAGATTCATTATGGCTTTCCTATCAGTGACTTCAAGCCTCTCCATTGTTCCTTCACTCCTGCCAATCACAGTTCTGCTTTACAACACCCTGCCATTGTCAACACATACATCCAAGAGGAGCTCGATGCTGGCCAGTTTTTGGGCCCATTTTCACAGTCTGAGGTCGAGGCACACCTCAGCTCCTTTTTTCGCTCCTCTCCTCTCACTGTCATCAAGAAGGCTGGGTCCACAGGAAAGTTTTGCATTGTGCGAAATTTGTCCTATAAGGATGACTCCGGCATGTTCGTTAATGATCAAATCGATTCTGGTGAATTTCAAACTAGCTGAGGCACTGCTGCCCAGGTTGCTGAAATCGTGAGTCTTTTCTTTTCTTTCTCCTTGTGCCAGAGTGTGTTCCTGGGTTGCTTGCAAATTTGTGTGCTGTCTGTTGTAGCACTTTTGTCAGAGCGTCATCTCCATACTGTTCGTCGGGGCATTTTCCCCACACTATTCGTCGGAGTGTCTTCCCCTGTCATTGTAAACACATATGCATATGCTCTGTGTCCATTGGCCCATGTGCAGCATTGTCGTCGGAGCATCTCCCCACATTGCCACTTATATCTATCTCACTGGGCGGGACTTGTTTTTGGGCCTATGCGTATTTTGTTCTTGTGCCATCGCAGGTTGCGACTACACCAGTGGATATGCAGGCGGCAACCTTAGACATCCAGGCAGCTTTCCGCGTGTCTCCAGTGTGGCCTCCACACAAACCTTTCATTGTGGTGATGCATGATGGTGGATTTTATATCGATTATTGCCTGCCTTTTGGCATCTCGTCAGCTACTAGCATTCAGGGTGAATCTGCAAACACCATCATCGATATTCTGGCCAGCGAAGGTGTCGGTCCCACAAGGAAGTGGGTCGATGACTTCGTGAACTTTCATTTCCTGTCTGGGGGTGGGTGGGTACATGGCATGGCGTCTTATTGCTGTACACCTATGCCTATGGGCTGAATATGGTCCTGAATATTATGACTTCCCTCAGTGTTCCGTGGCACACTGGAGACAAGCTACATGACTATGCCTTCATTTTTGTGTACTCAGGCTTTTCTTGGGATCTACCTGAACACTCCATTTGTCTCCTCGAGGTAAAGCAAATAAAATATCTGACAAAACTTCACGCTTTCCTTGCAGGTGCTGAGCATGGCCACATCACCCTGTGAGATGTGATGAGCATAAATGGTACCTTGTCGCATATCACTTTTGTCTTCCCGCATGAATGTGCTTACCTGCTGGGTCTCTGCACCTTTATCTCATCATTCTCAGCCACTTCACCACATGGTACCTGCTGAAATCTGTCCTTTCTGACCTTCATTGTTGGTTGGTTAGCTTGACAACTCTGTCCCCACCTCGAATCCTACATCCCAGGGGTGAGCCCCAGGATCTCAACATTCAGGTAGATGCATCGACTAAATGGGGTATCGGCCTTGTCATGGGGTAAGGCTGGTTGGCTTGGTGTTGGATTCTCAGCTGGAAGAGCGACAGCCATGATATCACTGGGGCAGAAATGATCATGCTCGAGTTCACGGTTTGCTTGACAGGTGCTCTCGGTCACCGAGATGCATCTTTTGTGATCTGAGGTGACAATATGGGTGTGATCGATGCTTACAAGCATGGACACAGTCAGAATCATCATACTAACGATTCCATCTGGTGCATCAACATCATCACCATGGCTTCAAATCTAGTCTTCTGCCCTGTCTATGTCAACACCGAAGACAATCTTGCTGACCCAGTCTCTTATGGTGCACTAGGCACCTGGTTGTCTCATCTGCCTCAATCATTTGAGCTTCCAGTGGAGCTTCAAGCGTACTTGACTTATGTCTAGTACGCCTTCACATACAGTGCCTGCATGTGTAGGTGCGATGATGACATGAGGCTCGAAAATGAGCCAGGATCTGTGCATTAGCACTGCTGATTATGAGGACAAAGGAGAAGAGATGGAGCCTTTATTGAGTTGTGCAGCCCTCAGCTGCTCTTCCAAAAGGGTTTACCAGCACAGAACATTTTGGTGCATATCAACGCGTGAATATTCAACACAAGGTATGCATTGTTTTCATTTGGTATGAATGGCTGATCGCAATGCTATTGCAGATAGGGTACATTACATGTGATAATGTCACAAATAATGACACCATGATGTCATATTTTGCATGGCATTTGCAGGCAGCGACAGGAAAGCCATTTGACCATAAGAGCCAATATATTTGGTGAGTCAAAATGTCAGATAATATGAGTGTCACGTTGATATGCTCAACCGCATCCTGGCCATGAGCAGCGCTCCTAACCAAAACCCTACTGGTGGAAGGTGAACCGGGGCTCTGTCCGTTTGCAATCCCTTTGAGCTACGGTCACAGAAAACTTTGGATGATAATGCAGTGACGGGCAGCTGTGAGTCATTTGGCTGTGTTGCTTAAAACGGAGTCAGATTGATCAATGGTTCTAGATCGGTGAGTGTCGGACTCAACTGTGTAGACGCCTCCAACCAGGAAACAGTCAAAAGCTGAAATGCAGGGGTGTGTGGGTGTAGAATGTAACTGGCGACTTCTGTACTTGTGAACTGTGGTGGCTGAAGGTCTGAGCTGTGGCACGAGGACCTGCTATATCTGAAAAGCATTGGTCAAGCGCTGACAACGAACCCCTAACAGCCTCTGAACTGGGTGAAGTGCCGATGATGAAGCCCTAAGCGCTTCTGACTGGAACGAGCACCGACGATGAACTCCTGGGCACTAGCAAGGCTACGGGATCTGATGGAGATGGAATCCTGGTTTGAAACTTGTGACTGGTGGCCTGCGAGCAAAATGCGATGGCATGAGATATGAGAATGTGATAATGTGGCTTATCTGGCTGAAACCTGAGTCGAGCTAGAGGCCACTGCTGAGAGTGCTGCCTCTCTCAGTGTCGAGAATCCCAGAGACATAGAACGTGATCGCAATAGATGTAGACGTAGTCAGGCACGACGCCCTAGCATAGACAAGACGAGAACTGAGCACTGCTGCGTGGGGAACTCCATCAAAAACTCTCCTGTTATTCCTATGTACAGTGTAGATTATATAGTGGATCAGAAATGAGCCAGCTGAGTCACTGAAATGCATTTCCGATCATACATTATGTTTCTGATCCATTGAAACCTGTCGCAAAGCTCGTTTCTGCCCCTCTCCATATCATACAGTCAGGGAACTGGAAGTCCAGCCCTGTCAGGGTCCATTGGTCTGCTACCCTATCTTCCATTCAGTTAGCACACTTGTTCATTTCTGAGTTGCCTAACTGGTCGTGTTCTGCTCTCACGCTGCCTCTTGTAATCGGCTATGCTTTTTCGTGGCTCGCTCATCATTTCTGTGCCTCATGTTTACCTTCTGACCCCTTTACATGGTTCCGTGTTCCCAGGCTGTCAGTAAAGTCTTCTTTGCCCACTCTGAACTGCTCCGGCTTGATGTTTGTCTTTTCAGATCGCGGTGACTCGCTATCCAATTGTGCGACAGTCGGACGCAGTTTCTGGCATTTTCCGATTGCAGAATATCTTGGTGCGTATCACCTCCCCTGTTCTGAGATCTGGACTGTCCTCAGTCCATCAGGCTTGTGTACTTTAGATAGCATGACCTCACTGTCGGTTTTCAGTCTTTCACCGCTATGTCCCACACTGATAGTGTCTTCAGCCTTGCAGCTCGCACTCGTGGTGTCTACCCCATTGACAGTGCTTGCATTTTGCTACTGCAGTGCCTCGATAATCTCGTGTTTGCATCACCCACTCCTGATGCTCATGCGTTGATCTGGCAGGGCTGGGCCACTTCATTTTCCACATACGAGGTGAGTATTTTGTGTTGCGATCTGCCTTCTGACGGTTAACACTGCGACCTTCCAGTTACGCATGACCTGCGACTATCCGGACCACGCCAAGAGTTTGCTGTGTGAGGTCAATTCAGTGCACGACTGGCTCATGCTGAATGCGAGCCCCAACTTCGATTGGATTCCAGCCATGGTTCCTTCCACCCTGAGAGGTTATTTCGAGGCTGTTAGCACCGCTGACCCGATTCGTTCATCTGCTGCGATGGCTGAGATCATGCGAGAGATCATCGAGGCTGCAGACTGTGGCAATTTTGACAAGTTTCCTGAAGGTCGTGACCTTACTGATGATCGCTTTCTAATGGCATTCACGGCAAACGACGTTTTCGTGGATTGGTGCGACTGTACATTTCTTGGGCAGACCATCCCGATTGGCTGCTGGTGGATAGACTATGATAGCCGACACATTCCTTCTTCTTCCACCATGTCTCATGCTATGGCGGAGATTCTTCAGGATGTGGTCAAGCATGAATCTGAAGTTGCTGCAGTGACTCTGCGAGTTCAGTCACGTTCGGCGTCCGTTGTGAGTACGGTGTCGTCTGCGGTCACCACCAAGTCTTCTGAGTCAAATATGCTGCACGAGTACTATGCCACCATCCACACCCTCCCAAAGCATGTGAAGATCATGTTCTTGAGCTTCAGAAAGCCATGGCCGCATACCAAGGTACGTTCATTCACTTTTCACCGCCTGCGCATCACTTATGTTTCTGCCACCAGTGCTCTAAGTGCTTGATGGATGATGACTGCATGATTATGCCTTCTGAGCATGGTGGGCAGGCTTGCATTTGCTGTTGAGTGTCGCACCTCAAGTGCTCATTTGTCCAATCTCCCTTCAGTATGCCTTCTTTTTCTTGATCGAAAATGCTGCCATCCTGACTCCACTCCTTTTGTACTCGCAGGTGCCAAATCGCTTGTCGATACTGAGCAGATTCTTAGCGAGATTCATGGACTGGACGTTCCCAGTGCTCTGCTTGTCGAGATCTATACGCACGAGCGTGCGTGACTGGTAGTGGAGGCGACTCGCATTAGCGAGCGTCTCCAGTTCTTGAAGTCCTTTTTGACTGCAAATGGGAAAGCCACGTAGTCTAGACCCATCTCGATTTGTCCTTCGTGTACTCCACTTGCTCATGTACAATAGTCCAACTGTGTTCATTTCTGACGCTGTACTGTGAATCCATTGTTTTAAGTGGCTTCGATTGGAGTTGGCTCACATTTTGGTCCCACAACAGAAGTCCTGCCCAAGTCACTTGAACTGGCTTTCTGAGAAAGCTGACTGGCTCTACCATGTGGTAGAGGATGATACCGTGAGGTTTTAATGACATGTTCACGTGTCCGAGCTTGGCCAGTTCAATTTTTCTGCAATGGCACCTAACTCGCCTCTCCCTCTACCTCGATCTCTCAGCTCCTCGCTGGGTGATCCCGCTACCCCATCATTCTCTCAACGTCCTGTGACTTTGGTCACTTCTCCATGCAAGGTATGCTTGTCTTTTCAGACCCTTTGGCTTTTTGCAGTGCTAATTTCTCTCCTTGACACCTAGGTGATGGACGCAAAGGACACCGTCATGGGCGTCGTGTATTCTGCTTAGGAGGCATTGTGCGAGGCAGAGCCTCTCGATCCAGCCATGGGTTTTGAATTCCTTATACATGAGTTCCTTTCTGCTCTTGTAAGTGAATGCTCCATTGCACTCGTCACTGGCTAACTCGCTCCCTTCGCTAGCATGATCTTCGCACTTTCTTGGACTCGGTGTCACAAACGTGCTACACCCAGTTTTGCCAAAAGGTCCAAGTGCATCTTGACTCCTTTGTCCAATCATCATGGCTGTCGTGGTGCGAGGAATTGATCTCGCCCAAGTGGGCTGCTGCCTTCTCGATGACCATGGTACATGCATCGGACTGTGGTCCCATCTCTGCCATCTAATGCGACCCTTGGACTCTCTCTAGGAACTGAGCCCTCCTCCGGTGACTGAAGCTTCCGTGCATACTCCTTTCGATACTGGGAAGGTCGTGGCCTCCAACTCTCTGACCACTTCCACCGGTGCCGACAACTCCCTTCTAGCTGCCTTTCTGGCACCTTCCTCCGTGGTAGCTGCTCCTGTTGTGGCTGTGGCTGCTCAAGGTGTTCCCATTCCAAAGTTTGAGTTCCAGGCTCGTGCAGCCAACCCGGTTGCTATCGACCCTCCTTCCGACTCCGATACTGTGGCCATGGAGGTCGACATTCCACTTGCTACCGTGGTCGCCCAACCCCCTTCTGTATCAGTCTCTGAGATCATCGAGCTCTCCAGCAATGATGAGGATGACAGTGACAGTGATGAGGTCGAGTTCATTGGTGGCACGATTCCCAACTTGTCTCCAGTGCATTCGAAGAAGGGCAAGGGTCGCGGTCGCAAGTCCATCAAAGCTTCCAGAATGACTACGACCTCAGAGGACCAGTATGTGCGCATGCCTGTGCACACCTTTCGTGATCGCTCCCTCCCCCCAGAGTATCTTCTGGCTTGGCAGAAGCCATCTATTGCTTGCTTGGTAAGTGCTTGCCTTTCTCACCCTTTTCCATCGCTAACTCCTTTTTCCAGTGTCGCTATTGCCTTCTTTCCGACAAGGTGTCTCGTACTTGCATGCTAAGCAAGTTCCATCCTAAATGCCACAAATGTCACTGCGACCACAAGGCTTGCAAGTGGTGGATGTGCGATACGGTCCCTGACATTGATGATGCTGACAGATGGCTTTCACTAAAGAAGCTGTACTGTTAGAAGGACTGGCCCCTGCCCAAGATGCTGGATGCTTCTGTGATTGCGAAGGCTTCCAGTCACCAGGGTGACTATGACGAGCAGATGTGTGATGTGAACACTGCTGGCAGCAATTACACTGCAGAGCTCGAGCTTCCGCTGGACACACCGATTGATGAATATGAGACTGCGATTGCTCTGACCCCATGCCTTTGTAGGCCTCCCTCCTTTCTCGTTTCGTTCCTGGCTAACTGACCTCCCTCCAGGTCTGGCCCATACCTTACCCGAGATGCCTGAGCCTGATGTTGAGTCTGACACTGAAGGTGCACCTGAGGTTGTGACCGTCAAGCAAGAGAAGGACACCGCCAGGCCTTCTCGTTGTAAGCTGGCAATTCCTCCGCCGCTGCGTGGTATGTTCCTTTCTGCATTGTTACTTCCTTGCTAATGGTTTCTTTAGGTCATTTCGACAGGCCTCCCAAGTGTCCTCGCTTTGACGACTCTGACCTGGATGACATCATGACACAGCACTTCCATGCTGGCACCATCGTTGTCCTGTCGATCAAGGTCCTCAAGCTGCACTCATTGAAAGGCAAAGCTCATGCAAAGGGTTCCTCCAAGAACGTGGCCATGAAGTCAGAACTGACTCGCACTTTGCCAGCCACCATCGAGCCTTCTGTGGCCAGTACACAACTCGAGCAGATGATTGAGCTCTCACAGCAGCTTCTCATGGAGAATTGCGCCTTGAGGGCTCACAAGTCATCATATCATCGGTGCGCTGGGCTTGGGCTGGGGTGATGCAAAGTGGGCTGTCTGCATAGTCTTTCATATCTCTGTCGTGATCTCTCCTCCTCTGCGTGCATGGAGCAAATGTATTAGTTAGCCTGCTTGAATAAACCATGTGTTGAAAAACCTTGCGCGAGTTTTCCCGAGTGAATCATTAAGTGAGATGTCGCAAAATATGATAGTCTTGTCCACGTTTTTGAGTCTCCTGAGTCCATAGCTGAGTCCGTGCCTATATACAATTGAAGAATTAGTTCGAATCCCTATGCTTGTTTATTCTGACTCGTTTGTGTCGTACTGGTCTTGCTGTCCTTCATCTTCATCTCCTGACTCCTCGTCTTCTTGTCCTTCATCTGGTTCCTCTTCTTCTTGGTCGTCCGACTGGAGCATCTCCTTCAATCTGGTTTCTGATGCGTCCAACATTTCTTCTGCGATCATGATCTTCTTTCTTGCTGTGAATGGTATCACCCTAAATGCTGCAATCAGCCAATCCAATACTGCTCCATCCAACTCGCAGAGCATGTATGCTCCTCCCCGATTGCAAAACAGCACAATATACAGCCTAATATAGCACGATCTCATTTTCCGATTGAGTGCTTTCTCGATCTGCGTATGCCGAACCAAGACTAGGTCTCCGCACTTAAAGTCAAAATCCTTGATCGCATTCTTGTGGACTTGCTTGAATTGTCTGGCTGCTTCTCTTCTGGCTTCGTAGACTGCATTATGAATTCTTGTGACCTGTTCACGGTGCTTCTGTAATGCTTCAGCTCGACTCGAAATTAGGTCGATTGTTGTCACCATTCTGACTGGGGCTGGAATCAAATACGTTGCTTCAACAATATCAAGCGATAGGACTGGATGGGTGCCTGTGACTGCAAAATAGGGTGAGCAACCCATTCATCTCCTAACCGTTACTCTTTCCGACCAGAAAACGAAATGTGCGACTTGACTCCATTTGTGCTCCTCTCCATTGGCAGCCTTGAATAGACCTTGCCGAATGTCGAAATGTGGTCGCTCAACGATTCCATTCACTCGTGAGTTGTAGCCACTTATCCGGATGTGCTTGATGTGATATTTCTTCTCCAGATAGGCTGCTGCTTTTACAAATGGTGCACCATTGTCAGTTATGATTTCTGATAAGGCCCCCCAGCGACAGAGTATATCCTCGAAAATCTAATCGTCAAGGATCTTCGCAGTTTCTGCTCGAAGCATACGGAACTCAGGATAGTGGGTGAGCGAACACCAACCCTGCACAATGTACTTGAATCTGTTTGAGGGCGGCATATGCATTGTGTCGATATATATCTTCGCAAATATCGGGGCTGGAATCGCAACAGTCGGTGAAATGAGAATCTGGCAAATCTGTCGCTTCTGACATATTACACAAGTCTTTACGAACCAAGCGATGTTGGCTGTGACGTCCGGCCACCAAAAGCGTTTGCGAATCAATGATCGAGTCAGAAAAATGCCTCGATGCCCAAGTTCGTCATGTGCACCAGCAAGGACTCACAGTCAGTTTCGTGGTAATATGACTAGCTTGTGTGATCCTTGTCCATCCTTCCTCCAGAGACGTCCATCTCGCTTGAAGAAGTGAACCGCATACTTGAGCATCTGATCGTATTCCTTGTCCGAGTAATTCTCCAGTCGCTGCAACGTTTCTAGCCAGTCAGTAATTAGAACGATGAGATGGTCATTCCATCTGGCTCATGCAGATTGTGGAACGTCCTTGTAGCTGACCACCTTCAGTTCCTGAGTATCTCGCATGGATTCTGATTCGTCATCACTTTGAGTCAGAAGCACAAAACCTGATTGCGTGGCTGGCTCCTCCCCCATTCTGAAAATCAACCATCCTCGGTCGACAGCAGATTACTTGAAAGCTGTGCTCGGGAAAGTACTTGGTGCATAAAGCCATTCATGTGATCCACCCAGTCATCGAAGTTGGTGTCCTTGATCAGCTCTGGTGACGGGTCACCTGGCTGTCTCAGTCAGCATGATAATCCATCTGGACCATGCATGACTCCTGGGATGTGGACTAGCCAGAAATGGTACATGAGGATCATGATGACCCAATGGTTGATGCTTGCACTCGGAGCGATGTCTGGGTTCTGCAATATGCCCTTAATGTACTTGGCATCCACTTCGACTATTAGGTTGCGAATGTCGATTAGATAGACCTTGAGTGCTCGCAAAGCGCGATATAGCCCGTAGAGCTTGAGCTTTGGTTGCAAAAACCTTTTCTCATGATCGTTGAGCGTGATGGACCCAAATTGATTGAAAAACCGCTTTTTCGAACCGTCAGTCGTGCCTTGGCACAACTGATATCCAACTGCGATCGGAGACATGTTCACTGCAAGAATAACTGGTGCTGACAAGTCATAATCAATCGCTCTCAAAGCTGGCGACTCCAATAATGCCTGCTTTAGGTCTTCCATCACTTTGAGCTGTGCCTCGCCGAATTCGAACAGAAGTCCTTTTCGAGTAAGCCACACGAGCGAGTGGGCTCGCTTTGCGAAGTCTTTGATGAAGATCCTCACAACTCCGATCATGCCTAGGAATGCTCGAACTTCCGATAGGTCCTTGCATGGGCCCCAATTTCTGACTGTCCACACTTGCGATTCATCTGGCAATCATCCAATCGGTGTACACCTTTCTGGTTTTCCTGTCTTGCTACTTCAGCGATTAGACACCACTCTTCACTGCAGACATGATGGCATTTGCAACTATGGCATATGCTGAGTTAGTCTTTTGCCTTTATAAGTGATATTTGCAACAGTGGCATTTTGTATCTCATTTTATGAAAATGCAACAGGATATTCAGTGATCACAGATTAGTTACGAACTTTTTAAGATATGCAAGCAT